GACGCACGGGTCAAGGGGCGGCACGCGGGTCCCTGAGGGAGCCGCGACAGGCGACAGCGCGCGGGTCCCCTGGGGCGTCGCGACGGGCGACGGAGGGGGGGGCGCGCGGGGGTCCCTGGGGGCGTCGCGATGGACGACGGGGGGAGCGCGCAGGTCCCCAGGGCCGCCACGACGGGCGACGGGGGGGCGGCGCGCGGGTCCCCCGGGGCGCCGCGACGGGCGACGGGAGGGGCCGCGCGCGGGTCCCTGGGGGCGCCGCGACGGACGACGGAAACCGCCGCGCGCGCCCGGGGCGCGCGGTGGGCAGGAAACCGCCACACGCCCCGAGCGTGTGGCGGGCAGAAAACCGCCACGCGCTCGGGAAGAAAAAACGTCGCGCGCCACGGGGTGCGTGACAGACAGTATAGCAGCGGAAGGAAGCAGTAGGCCCGGGATCAATGAGTTCTGATACCATGTTAGAATACTAGCCAAGAATGGAATGAAAGGAAGAGGGGTTTCACCGTCAGAATGTGATATTTGTCTAGCCTGCAGTGGGGTACTCTATAGCGAGTATAGCCCGAATTAGGGTTCACTATATGTACTCAACTGCCTGCTAGTGCAAACCCTCTTTTCTGTTCTAAACTTCTGCCTATTATTCTGACATGCTATCAGAGCAGGTCGACCCTCCCTGGTCGATCCTGTGGGTGGGCCCACCCGATGCTTCCGCTGCTGTCTTGTGTGTCGCGCGCCCCGTGGCGCGCGACGTTTTTTCTTCCCGCCACGCGCTCGGGGCGCATGGCGGTTTTCTGCCCGCCGTGCGCCCCGAGGCGCGCGGCGGTTTCCTGCCCCGCGCGTCCCCCCCGTCGACCGTCGCGTCGCCCCTGGGGACCCGCGCGCGCCCCCCGCGATCCCGTCGCGTCGCCCTGGGGGCCCGCGCGCGGCCCCCCGCCATCCTGTCGCGTCGCCCTAGGGACCCGCGCGCGGCCCCTGCCATCCCGTCTCGCCGCCCTGGGGACCCGCGCGCGGCCCCTGCGCTCCCGTCGCACCGCCCTAAGGACCCGCGCGCGACCCCTGCCATCCCGTCGCACCGCCCCGTGCTGCCTGTGTTAGGGTTTGGGGGTGGCGAGTGTGGGGGTGTGTGCGACGTCCCCTGCTCCTCCTCCTCCTCCGTCTCCCACTGCTGCAGCTGCCGCTGAGGGGGGTGGATGTGTGGGAGCCGTCGGAGTGGTACTAGGGGGGTGGCGTGTGAGCAGTGCTAGGGGTACAGCAGGGGGTGTGTGAAAGGGGTGTGGGACAGTTGGGGGAGGTTGAGTGGAGGCAGCCGTCTTGTCGTCCGCAGCGCCTGTATTCCGGGGCCCTTGCCACTGGTAGCCCAGCGAGCCTGCTGCGCCAGTCGCCCGTGGGTCAGTTGCTCCTGCCGCTCGTCTTAGCCGCGGAGCCAGTTACTCCTGTAGTCCGGGGCCCTTGCTCCGGTAGCCACCGTGCGCGCCGCTCCTGTTGCCCGTGTGTCTGCGGCTTCACCCGTCGCCTCCTATCTCCACTCCTCTCACAGTCCCTCCTCCTCCTCACTTGCCCTCTGTGACTGCCTCTAGTTTTGCTTGTACTTGTGAACCTGCTCTATGACTGCTTGCTGTGCTGATTATACCCCACTTTGACTATGGGGGTGTGTCAGAATGTGATGTTTGTCTAGCCTGCAGTGGGGTACTCTATAGCGAATATTGCCCGAATTAGGGTTCACTATATGTACTCAACTGCCTGCTAGTGCAAACCCTCTTTTCTGTTCTAAACTTCTGCCTATTATTCTGACATTTCACTAGCAGGCAGTTGGAATACAAATAGCAAACCCTAACCATGCTGTACTCACTGTAGAGTATCCCACTGGAGACTAGCCAAATATCGCGTTCTGACACAGGGTACGAAAAAAATCCCCTATAGATCAGGGTAAGGAGGGCCTGGAACCCTGATTTGTCAGGGTGGGCCTAAACCAATTTTGGGCTCTGTCCATCACCGGACAATCTTCGCCCGACCTCCACGCCTAACTAGCATTTCCCCTATTTAGGCATCGTCAATTTCAATGTATCGTCATTCTGAGTTCAACATTCTCGTTATTCATTTGACTGCGCACTCTGCAAGTCCATTCATAACATGTGTAATGACTAATTATTTCGCCATTATTCTTTTGTAGGACGCAAGTACAGAGAAACAGAAACATTGGCTATGTGTTGAATCATTATGCACCCTAAATCCTCCCATATTCCCCCTACACCGCAACTAAACATTCGGGCCTCCTGAAACTTGGCGAGAGGAAGGTTTGGAACGGTTGAGAGTGGTTTCGGGTGTGTTGAATCAAAACGACCACCACAGATCTGCGTTGCCCAATCACAACCACAAGAATTTACGCAGAACGTTGTCCATCGCTATTGGCCGAGCTCAGATTGCCTGGATTCCGAGCGAGCAGGTGAGGAGATTTCGGAGCGTCGGACACCTGGAATGCACGCGGTCTGCGATGAGTCAGCATCCAATCGCAATCACCCCAAAAAACGCCCAAGCCCACCTTTCTCCCTCGGACCTCGAGTTCAAAAAAGTCGCCAGTCACTAATTGTTCAGCAGTCAGCACTCTCATCCAAGAATTCTTACAGCAGTTTTTATTCGAGTTCTTTGCACATACACGATGGCTGCTCTCGCTAATGCTGCTGTGCTCCCGTCCACCTTCGTCGGCCAGAGTGCTGAGCTCGCCGCCAAGGTGAACAATGTCGAGGCCCGCGTGACGATGAGGAAGACCGCCAAGGCGGCTTCCAGCAGCGCCTTCTACGGCCCCGACCGCAACCTGTTCCTGGGCCCGTTCTCCTCCCCCCCGTCGTATCTGACCGGCGAGTACCCCGGTGACTACGGCTGGGACACGGCGGGTCTGTCCGCTGATCCCGAGACCTTCGCCAAGAACCGCGAGCTGGAGGTAAGCCACACCAGATTCATAACTACACATTTGACTTAGATGACCTTTCGGGACAATAAAGCACTTTCCAGATTCGTTCAATTTGTCGTGCGGCTTTCAGTAGCAAGCCATTTCGTTCGTGTCTTCACCAACTCCCGTTCGTGATGACGCATTCTAAAATTCAGTCACCCGGTGATGCGGCTTGCAGTCGCATACGTCAGGATTGTTCTCTTCGTGTCGTCACCATCTTCTGTTTTTTCTTGCGTCGCTTCAACCCATCAGGTGATCCACGCTCGCTGGGCTCTGCTCGGCGCGCTCGGCTGCCTCACCCCCGAGCTCCTCGCCAACAACGGCGTGAACTTCGGTGAGGCCGTGTGGTTCAAGGCCGGCGCTCAGATCTTCTCCGAGGGCGGCCTGGACTACCTGGGCAACCCCAGCCTGATCCACGCGCAGTCCATCCTGGCCATCTGGGCTTGCCAGGTCATCCTCATGGGAGCCGTCGAGAGCTACCGCGTGGGTGGCCTCGAGGGCTTCCAAGAGGTTGAGGACCCCCTGTACCCCGGCGGTGCCTTCGACCCCCTGGGTCTGGCCGACGACCCCGATGCTCTTGCCGAGCTGAAGGTGAAGGAGCTGAAGAACGGCCGCCTCGCCATGGTGTCGATGTTCGGCTTCTTCGTGCAGGCCATCGTCACCGGCAAGGGCCCCCTGGAGAACCTGTCGGACCACCTGGCTGACCCCACCGTCAACAACGCGTGGGCCTACGCCACCAACTTCACCCCTGGTGCTTAGATTGTTGATTTGTCAACCTGTACATTTTCTTTGTTCAATTCCGTAATACAATTTTGACTCCAAATCCGAAATTTTATGCACCTCCGACGAGTAACATGGCCGGGAGAGCAAAGGATGTGAACGTGATACAAATAAGCGCCTGGAACTCTCTGCCTGAATCTCCAGTGAGATGGTACTCTCTACTTCGGATCTCCATGGATGTACCCGTATGGCAGAAGTACGGTACAAGCTCAGTAAGTGTACAGAAATTTTCAGGCGAGGCATTTCCTATGGCTTCATAGGCAAATTAATTGTCAGCCTTGCTTCTCACCGCGGAACACACATGATCACATTCAACTGCACTGAAACGCATTGAACGGCACAAGCCTGACAAGGGGTGAACGGCACAAGTTCACCTCTAAATTGTGCTGCCCTAGGAGCTATGGGGTATGCACGTCCGGTCTGGCAGACAGCCAACTTGTGCATGAGGATGCAGTGCCATTGCAAACAAGGGTCGTACCATAGTAACTCCGATCCAATGGGTGTTCCACCATGCATATACCATAAGGTAGCTCATTCATGAGCGAAATGCCATCACAGGCAAGGCCTCATTTCAATGCTGACCTATACTCGCATGCTACAAACATGCTACTACCATTCTAGAGCAATGATACAACCATGCTTCAACCATGCTAGAAACATGTTGCAACAATGATACAAATATGCTTTAGCTGTGTTACAACCATGGTACAGCCATGCTACAGCCAAGCTCCCCATCCTGGAAACATGACGGCAAGGCGGTCGGGGTCCTGTGCGTCCTTGATCAGCTGCTGCACCTGGTGGCAGTGGAGCCAAGCAATGCAGCGATGCAGTGCAGAGGAGGCAGTGCAGTGATGGGGAAGATGGGCCAGGGATGGGGAAGACAGGCCAGGGATGAGGAAGAAAGGCCAGGAATGGGTAAGACAGGCCAGGGATGGGGAGCAGGGGTGAGGGGTCAAACAGAGATGCGAGCTGAAGGCAATGAGAAAAGATAAGCAATGCCATACATAGGAACATGGCACCCATTTCGAAAGTTCTATATGTTAGCTTCCCAACCTGCACTTTGATGCTGCCCCACCTGCCCGGCCACGCTGCCCCACCTGCCCGGCCATGCTGCCCCACCTGCCCGACCATGCTGCCCCACCTGCCCGGCCAAACTGCGCATCTCGCCGTCCTCAAAGCCGTCAAGCTTCTGCTTGACGCGCAGCAGTGCTCTCGTGGCCTCCTCGCACACATTTACATATGCTACCTGCACTACCTGCCCATTACCATGCTGCCTCACCTGCCCGGCCAGGCTTCGCATCTCGCCGTCCTCAAAGCCATCCAGCTTCTGCTTGACTCGCAGCAGTGCTCTCGTGGCCTCCTCGTTGCCCTCCATCGCTGCCCCGCTCTCCTCCTCCGTCCCCTCCTCCTCCATCGCCTCCTCACTCTCCTCCATCTGCGCTCCCATGCAGTGCAGTGACACGCACAGTGCCAAGCGTGCAGTGCCACGGAATGAGGGATTACCACATAGTGGTTGCGACAGGTGGAATGGGAGCTTGGTAACAATGCACGAGCACGTGGAAACTGGTGAAAGAAAAAGGGATAAGTGGGGTGAGAATACTTGAGTGTGATGGAGAGATGCAAGTGAGCGTGTAAGGTGTGGGCAAGAAGGCACCTTCTGTCGATGCAGCGCCTTAAGCGGAGAGAGGGCCCACTTGTAAAGGGGATCATAGATGAACACCTGCAGGGGCGCACAGGGGGGCAGAGGTGCACAGGGGGGCAGAGGCGCACAGGGGGGCAGGGGCATGCAGGATGGCAGGGGCATCCAGGGCGGGCGAGGACACATTCTTAGAACACCCCCATAGCCGGCATACATCAACATTGTTGGGCAATAAAACACACCGCTGACCTCAATGATGGTCAACAGTGCCTCCTTGTTCTCACGCATCACTGCCAGCACCGTCTCACAGCAGCCCTGACTCGCTCCTGTGACAGCAGCGCTGACTAACTTGGAAGCACTTTCGCCGGATCAGAATCTCGCATCTTTCACACCACGCACCTCAATGATGGTCAACAGTGCCTCCTTGTTCTCGCGCATCACCGCCAGCACCGTCTCACAGCAGCGCCGAAACACCCCCTCCACGCCGCTCACGCCCATGCCGTCAATAATGTCCCGAGTGAGGCGGAATGGCACCTGTTGTGTCACCAGGGTGTGGATTGGAAGGGCACAAGGTAGGACTAAGCAGGGCACCAGAACACCCCCTCCACGCTACTCAAGCCCATGCCGTCAATAATGTCCCGAGTGAGGCGGAAGGGTACCTGGCATGAGGGTGTGGAGCACACGTGAGTGCGAGAGTGGTTTAGCATAAAGTCATGACTTGTCCATGTGAAAGGTGAGTGACCGGACCCCCGTCCACCCAACTCACACGGACCAAGGCCATTGGCGAGTCCATAATCGTGCGCCACGTGTTTCCGCCCTCCGTGAAGGACGGACTTAGCAGGACCGCGCTCGTCATGTGTCGTGCGTTTTGCGAGGCCGAGGAGGGGTGCAGCGAGCAGGAGGAGCTCACAGTGGTGGCCACAGACTGCGAGGACGGCACAGAGGTGGAGCTGGGCACTCACCAATTCTTCGGGTGCTACATGAACGGAAAGTTAAAGAGCTCAAAAGTCCCCGAGATGCTCAAGGTGAAGGACTGACCACCCACTGCTGCGTTCCAGGACAGGCTGCCTCGGCACAGCGCTGAGTTCCTACGTGCATTGCCTCTTTACGAGCACACGCATCATGTTAAGGGCCTTCTGAACCTGGCGACGGCGGTGCCGAAGGGTGGCCCGAAAGCGGACATGGGGCCCAAAGCTTATATCACGTGTGGGGCCTCCACATCCTATATCAGAAGGCCCTCGACAGGATGCGTATAAACGTGAAGAGGCAACGCGCGCAGGAATCAGCGCCGTGCCGAGGCAGCCTATCCTGGAACGCAACAGTGGGTGGCTAGTCCTTCACCTTGAGCATCTTGGGGACTTTTGAGCTCTTTGACTTGCCGTTCATGTAGCACCCGAAGAATTGGTGAGTGACCAGCTCCACCTCAATGCCGTCCTCGCAGTCTGTGGCCACCACTGTGAGCTACTCCTGCTCGTTGCACCTCTCCTCGGCCTCGCTGAACGCACGGTACATGACGAGCGGCACCCAAATGAGCCCATCCTTCACAGAGGGCGGAATCACGTGGCGCATGATTATGGGCTCCCCGCGATGCCAGTGCTGCTGGAAGTGCACCACTGCTGTTCATTGAGTGTCCAGCAAAACAGCAAATTTAAATATAGGTCAATCATCACACCGCATGAATGATTTGCCTTCACCTTCCACTTGCACTTGCCACCTTATTTTTGTAACACACCCCACTTCTGTATATGCTTCCATACACCTACACGCACTTACATACACACACACACATACAAACCCCAATAAATCTCCCTGAATCAACACTACTAATCAAAGCACCCACTTATCATTATCGGGCGACTTGAGCATGAGGCCCTTCCTGAACGGAAGCTGAGGTCGATGCGCATTGTGCACCACCTCTGGTGACTTCACCACCCACGGTGAGTGCACCTAGCGTTCCTATCAACCTACATGCACACACTACACTTACACACACCCACCCACAGACGCCGCACCTTCTCAGGCGTCTTGAGCATGAGTCCCTGCTCGAAGGCAATCCCCAGGTCGATGTGCACCACCTCTGCTGATCGCTCATCCAGCAGAATGTTCATTGAGTGCCTGTCGCCCAGCCCCACCACGTACCCCACCTGCCATAGAGCACGAGAGGCGGGGCAGTTTGGGGCACAAGGGTTAGACGCTTCACGAGGTGCTGCAAAATGTTCATCGCATGGCGGTCGAACAGCCCCACCACATACCCCACATGGTGTGATGCACACGAGGCAGGTCGGGGGGTGAACAACGGTTGCATGCTTCAGTGCAGGGGTACCTTGTTCCGCAAGGGCGAAGAGCTTCACAAGGGTGAGAGCTGAGGGTTGAAAGGCTCATGTGGAAATGGGCAGGGTAGGGCGAGCCATGTGCTATGCACAGTGCTTTTAAATGGCTGGCATGCAGCGTCCATTGCACGCTTGACATGCGTACCATGCACTGTCATTTGTCATGGAGGTGGCATGACATGCGGACCATGCACTGTCATTTGTCATGGAGGTGGCATGACATGCGGACCATGCACTGTCACTTACCATGGAGGTGGCATGACATGCGTACCATGCACTGTCATTTGTCATGGAGGTGGCATGACATGCGGACCATGCACTGTCACTTACCATGGAGGTGGCATGACATGCGTACCATGCACTGTCACTTACCATGGAGGTGGCATGACATGCGGACTATGCACTGTCACTTACTATGGAGGTGGCATGACATGCGTACCATGCACTGTCACTTACCATGGAGGTGGCATGACATGCGTACCATGCACTGTCACTTACCATGGAGGTGGCATGACATGCGTACCATACCATGCACTGTCACTTACCATGGAGGTGGCATGACATGCGTACCATGCACTGTCACTTACCATGGAGGTGGCATGACATGCGTACCATACCATGCACTGTCACTTACCATGGAGGTGGCATGACATGCGTACCATGCACTGTCACTTACCATGGAGGTGGCAGCCACGCTGCGAGTGTATGTGAGACGCCGGTCGAACCAGTCGGCAGGCAGCATGAAGCGCTCGAGGAAGAAATGGCGCATCACAGGGCTGGAGAGCGGTGGACGGGGGTGCGGAGAGGTGGAAGGGGATGGAGAAGGTTTGAGGGATTTAGAGGGTGAACAGGTGGACAAGCAATGACACAGCAACCGATGCGACCTACCTTCATGTGACACGGACGTGACACAAAGGTGAAGGGTCGGGGCTCAGTGTGAGGTAAGGAGAAAGGGGCTAACTGTGTGAGGCTTACTGGAAGTTCTGAAGGACCTTGTCAAAGGCTTGCCTCTTGTCACTTTCCTGTGCATGGATCGATGCACATGTAGTAAGCAGTTGAGGGATGTGGAAATAGAGGCAAATGGGGGAATGGAGGGGGATGAGGCAAAGCAAGGGTAGAGTAAAGGAAGATTTATTCGCAAGAAAAAAAACACATAGTGTACATCTCAGAGTTCCTAATGGCGAAAACTGCAAGGGAGTAATCCGCATCTGCAAGTATTGCTGTTCTTCCCCTGAGACATTCTACCTCCACCCAAGTGTTTTTCCCCAGCCCGAATGTTTTTTTTCCTGCCCGGCACAGCGTATTCTGAGCGTTTTTTAAACTGGCAATCCAGCGTACTTGCGTAGCACATATTACGTACGCGACTGATACGCCATGCGCATATTTTCCAACATAGGTCTCACCTCCGCCATCCCCCAACTCACCCGCGCCATCCCAACTCACCCGCACCATCCCATCTTACCAGCGCCATCCTATCTCACCCGCGCCATCACTTCACGGCAAGTCATGAAGGGCCAATCAGAGCCCCCGTAGCGAGCGTGCGCCCCTCCCTTGCGAGTGCTGGCCACGTGGGTGGGGAGGGAGTGGATGGGGGCGAAGGGACAGGGATAGAAATGAGCCGACCATGGGGCGGACGGAGGGAGACACTTGAAAGTTAGGGTGCTGCGCCCCTCCCAAGCAATGCGAGTGCTGGCAACACGGATGTTGATACAGTGGATGGGGGCAATGAGAGGAGAAGAAAGGTGAGCGGCCGACGGGGCAGAGAGGGAGGGGAAGAAGGGTCAGCAGGTGTTGGGAAAAGGCGGGAGAGAGTCAGGAGTTGGGAGCCGGAGGGAGCGTGCATGCAAAGCAGATGGCGCTTGGGGGTTCAATAGGGGAGATGAGAGCTGCAAGCCATCTTGTTCACAAGTTGATGTACATGGCAAGTGGTTCTTGACAACTCTCAAATGCAAAGTGGGAATACTAAGTACCGCATGCAACCCCACCGCCTCAATGCGAGTGCCTGCACCTCAATGTGAGTGCCTGCACCTCGATGCGAGTGCCTGCACCTCGATGTGAGTGCCTGCACCTCGATGTGAGTGCCTGCACCTCAATGTGAGTGCCTGCACATCGATGTGAGTGCCTGCACCTCGATGCGAGTGCCTGCACCTCAATGTGAGTGCCTGCACCTCAATGTGAGTGCCTGCACGTGTGCACACAAGCCAGTCCGCTGAGCACCCCTGCATGCATGTGCTTTAGCCCTTGACCACGCACCTTCCTAGAAGGTACTCCCCAAGCGGCAGCGTGCCATCCACCCACTCGAGCAGTCCCGCGCTGGGAGTGAAGGGCACCACCTGACAGGCCGTGCACAAGGGTGCCGTGTGGGGGGGGGTGGTGGGGGGGTGGCGGGGGGGGTGCACTTTTCAGATTTGCAACCTGTGATGGGAGTGAAGGGCACGACCTGTTGAGGGGACATACAGGGAGGGGAGAGAGGGGCGGACGAGAGCAGGGGTGCAGTCGGGGCAGGAGCGGGAATGACAGGTGGTGCGAGGTGGTAAGAGGAGGTGAGTGAATGGCAGAGGTGGTGATTAGAGTGGAGCGGATGAGAGGAGAGTTATGCAGTCAGTTGTTGCTGACTCGATCCATGCGACCCATGCGACCCATGCGACCCATGCGACCCATGCGACCCATGTGACCCATGCGACCCGTGTGCCCTCACCTTGTAGGTGCGGATGGCGAGGTGGCGCCTGGTGGCCCGCTCATGGGCTTGCAGCAGCGATGGCATACAGGCAATGCAATTACACTGTGTTCTGTCATGCACAAGTGCCCATGCAGGCAAAGGCGCAGAGAGGGGCGCACCTTGTACGTGCGGATGGCGAGGTGGCGCCTGGTGGCCCCCTCATGGGCTTGCAGCAGCGATGGTGTACAGGCAATGCAATTACACTGCGTTCTGTCATGCACAAGTGCCCATGCAGGCACAGGCGCAGAGAGGGGCGCACCTTGTACGTGCGGATGGCGAGGTGGCGCCTGGTGGCCCCCTCATGGGCTTGCAGCAGCGAGTTCACCAGCCCGAACAGCTGCTCCATCACCTGGTGGGGCGTGGTGGGGTGCGGTGGGGAGAGGTGGGGAGAGGTGGGGAGAGGTGGGACGTGGGGAAGGAGGGAGGGGTGAGGAGAGTGGTGGGAATAAGCGAGTTCACCAGCCCGAACAGCTTCTCCATCACCTGGTGGGGAGAAGAGGAGAGAGGTGGGGAGTAGTGGGGAGAGGTGGGGTGAGGTGGGGTGAGTAAGAGATTTCACCAGCCCAAACAGCTGCTCCATCAATTAATGAGGCGAGGAGGAGAGCGGGGGAGTGAGGGGCGGAGAGAGGGGGTTGGGGAGAGAGGGGGAGTGGGGAGAGAGGGAAGATTGGAGGGAATAAGAGAGTTCACGGCGTGCATGCAATAGAGTGAAGAGATGAGGAGCTGAGAAGAGGATAGAATGAGGAGAATGAAAGAAGCGACTGACAGCGCCCTGGCGGAGGTCATCGTAGATGAGTCGACTCAAAAATCGACTCATCACACGAGGTCATCGTAGATGAGTCGACTCAAAAATCGACTCATCACACGAGGTCATTGTTGATGAGTCGACTCAAAAATCGACTCATCACACGAGGTCATCGTTGATGAGTCGACTCAAAAATCGACTCATCACACGAGGTCATCGTTGATGAGTCGACTCAAAAATCGACTCATCACACGAGGTCATCGTAGATGAGTCGACTCAAAAATCGACTCATCACACGAGATCATCGTTGATGAGTCGACTAAAAAATCGACTCATCACACGAGGTCATCGTTGATGAGTCGACTCAAAAATCGACTCATCACACGAGGTCATCGTTGATGAGTCGACTAAAAAATCGAGTCATCACACGAGGTCATCGTTGATGAGTCGACTAAAAAATCGAGTCATTAGACCCCATGCACTCCCATCAGACCCCATGCACTCCCATCAGACCCCATGCACTCCCATCAGACCCCATGCACTCCCATCAGACCCGCCAAACCCCCCACACTCCATACTATAGGCTCACAGGATGCTGCCATGCCATGCCATGCCATGCCATGCCACTCACAGTATCCTGGCGCAGGTCATCGCTGCCCGACTTGGCAAGCTGCTTGTACACGCGGCCATCTGACCCCATGCACTCCCGTCAGAGCCCAAAGACACCATGCCATGGGCTCATAGGATGGTGCCATGCCATGCCACTCACAGCATCTTGGCGCAGATCGTCGTTGCCCGACTTAGCAAGCTGCTTGTACACGCGGCCGTCCGATCCCATGCACTCCACCACCTTGGGCGCATTCACCCCATGCATCACCCTGGAGAGGACGAGAAGTTGTGAGTGCAGGGAAGAGGGATGCGGGGAAGATGTTGCGGTCGAGGAGGAGACACACATTTTGATCAGCCCCACACAGCACAGCGCTTCTTGAATAGCATGAGTGCACATCATGGACTCAATGGATGTTGCCATGTCATACGCTTACTGAATGTTGCCATGCCATACGCTCACTGGTAGCTGTCATGTCATACGCTCACTGGAAGTTGCCATGCCATGCCATGGGCTCACTCATTTGACGCTTCCCGTGCATGCTTACCTCATGGTGTCCTTGAGCCCACAGAAGGCAGGGAAGGACCCCGGGGCATAGCAGCAGGTTCGGTCCACAGGCACCGAGGCTGTGAGCACCGGCACCTGCAGTGAGCGGGTGGCAAGGGGGCAGAGACACACTATTCAAGGGACACCTTATGACGAGTCCCAGCTCCACTGGAAGAAGCCGAGACTGTGAGAAGTGGCACCTGAGGGCAGGCAGCAAGGCAGGGAGAGAGAAGTGCACGGGCAACTTGTCAACCAGATGCGAAAAGAGCACAATCATCCATATGAGCACGCAACTCACTCTGCCTGCATTCCACGTGTCACTCGTTTACAGAATCTCAACATAGAATGCCCTGCCTGGCTTGAGCCAGCAGCCCTGCTGTGAATGGCGATCGATCGATCATGATTGCGTTGTGATGCGATCAGGAGCTCTGACACGTTACTGTCCGTACATGCAGGCACCATTACATTGAGAATTCTCAAAAGTAGGTTTGTTTAGCTTCTCACAGTTGGCTGCCCTGGCAATGACTCACTCGTAAGAGATCCTTCACGCTGCGGAAGTTTCTCGGAAGCTGCTTCGAACGCATGAGATCCTGAGACGAGTGGGATGGTGGATGGTGGAGAATCAATGGATTTCGGATTTGCAGAGAAGAATGAGGAGAGGAGAGTGGAAAGCAAGTGGCTGTCCAGAGAAGCAAGGAGAAAGATAGGTGCAACAGATTGCAAGTGAAGTGACTGCGAGTGAGCCTGTGACAGCAAAGAGCATGCACAACGTGAGGCCCCGATGTAGGAGGAAGCATCGCAGGTGGACAACCACCATCTACCTCTTCACACACCGTTACCGTGTTCCACCGCACCACACCGCACCCACCTCCTTGCTGGACTCCATCTCCGCCAGGCGGATGTACAGATCCATCAGCTGCTGCATCTGCGCACACACCGGGGGGGAAGGGTGGGGGGGAGAGGAGGGTTTGGTTGGCGGGTAGGGGGGTTGAGTAAGGACGGGCACTGGACTGGAGGCAATAGTCATGGTGGTTGCTTGCACTTGCACATCACAGGGTGAGGATGCCATTCCATATCCATGAGCTGGTGAGGATGCCATTCCATATCCATGAGCTGGTGAGGATGCCATTCCATATCCATGAGCTGGTGAGGATGCCATTCCATATCCATGAGCTGGTGAGGATGCCATTCCATATCCATGAGCTGGTGAGGATGCCATTCCATATCCATGAGCTGGTGAGGATGCCATTCCATATCCATGAGCTGGTGAGGATGCCATTCCATATCCATGAGCTGGTGAGGATGCCATTCCATATCCAAGAGCTGGTGAGGATGCCATTCCATATCCATGAGCTGGTGAGGATGCCATTCCATATCCATGAGCTGGTGAGGATGCCATTCCATATCCATGAGCTGGTGAGGATGCCATTCCATATCCATGAGCTGGTGAGGATGCCATTCCATATCCATGAGCTGGTGAGGATGCCATTCCATATCCATGAGCTGGTGCATTTGGGGGGCGACTCAACGTGACACAAGAGGTGGCGGTTGGTTGGTTGGCAGGCAAGCAGGTTGAATGAGGATGGTCGGGGAAAGCAAGAATGAAAGAAGGATGCTATGCAAAGGTCTTCCAGCAACTGAACTGCATACTTACAGTTGGATCAGATAAGTCGATATGGCAGCAAGTCTACTTTTGTATCTTACCTCATCCAGCATGGGCTTGTGCCGCCCAGCCATACCGCCCAGGACAGCCTTTGCCGCCCGGATCTTGTCCTCATCCACGACAAAGAGGTTTCGCCCACGCTGACTGCTGCGCACCCTGTTGCCATTGGCTAGTGCCATGAGCTGCGGGGGGAAAGGGGGGATGGGGAGAGGACGAGGGAGAGAATGGTTGGAGGATGGGGGAGAACGGTTGGAGGACGGGGGAGAACGGTTGGAGGATGGGGGAGAACGGTTGGAGGACGGGGGAGAACGGTTGGAGGATGGGGGAGAACGGTTGGAGGATGGGGGAGAACGGTTGGAGGACGGGGGAGAACGGTTGGAGGACGGGGGAGAACGGTTGGAGGATGGGGGAGAACGGTTGGAGGATGGGGGAGAACGGTTGGAGGATGGGGGAGAAGATGAAAGTTTCAAATGTGTGCACGCACGGTGTGCACCATGGTGGTGCATGCATGCATGCACAGGTGTGAAATAGATTGTCAGCATCGTTGTTCCACTCCAACGCTGGGAAAAGTGGTGAGTGCATTGCTTACCACAGGCACGGTGTGAGTGCATTGCTTACCACAGGCACGGTGTGAGTGCATTGCTTACCACAGGCACGGTGTGAGTGCATTGCTTACCACAGGCACGGTGTGAGTGCATTGCTTACCACAGGCACGGTGTGAGTGCATTGCTTACCACAGGCACGGTGTGAGTGCATTGCTTAACACAGGCACGGTGTGAGTGCATTGCTTACCACAGGCACGGTGTGAGTGCATTGCTTACCACAGGCACGGTGTGAGTGCATTGCTTACCACAGGCACGGTGTGAGTGCATTGCTTACCACAGGCACGGTGTGAGTGCATTGCTTACCACAGGCACGGTGTGAGTGCATTGCTTACCACAGGCACGGTGTGAGTGCATTGCTTACCACAGGCACGGTGTGAGTGCATTGCTTACCACAGGCACGGTGTGAGTGCATTGCTTACCACAGGCACGGTGTGAGTGCATTGCTTACCACAGGCACGGTGTGAGTGCATTGCTTACCACAGGCACGGTGTGAGTGCATTGCTTACCACAGGCACGGTGTGAGTGCATTGCTTACCACAGGCACGGTGTGAGTGCATTGCTTACCACAGGCACGGTGTGAGTGCATTGCTTACCACAGGCACGGTGTGAGTGCATTGCTTACCACAGGCACGGTGTGAGTGCATTGCTTACCACAGGCACGGTGTGAGTGCATTGCTTACCACAGGCACGGTGTGAGTGCATTGCTTACCACAGGCACGGTGTGAGTGCATTGCTTACCACAGGCACGGTGTGAGTGCATTGCTTACCACAGGCACGGTGTGAGTGCATTGCTTACCACAGGCACGGTGTGAGTGCATTGCTTACCACAGGCACGGTGTGAGTGCATTGCTTACCACAGGCACGGTGTGAGTGCATTGCTTACCACAGGCACGGTGTGAGTGCATTGCTTACCACAGGCACGGTGTGAGTGCATTGCTTACCACAGGCACGGTGTGAGTGCATTGCTTACCACAGGCACGGTGTGAGTGCATTGCTTACCACAGGCACGGTGTGAGTGCATTGCTTACCACAGGCACGGTGTGAGTGCATTGCTTACCACAGGCACGGTGTGAGTGCATTGCTTACCACAGGAACGGTGTGAGTGCATTGCTTACCACAGGCACGGTGTGAGTGCATTGCTTACCACAGGCACGGTGTGAGTGCATTGCTTACCACATGCACGGTGTGAGTGCATTGCTTACCACAGGCACGGTGTGAGTGCATTGCTTACCACAGGCACGGTGTGAGTGCATTGCTTACCACAGGCACGGTGTGAGTGCATTGCTTACCACAGGCACGGTGTGAGTGCATTGCTTACCACAGGCACGGTGTGAGTGCATTGCTTACCACAGGCACGGTGTGAGTGCATTGCTTACCACAGGCACGGTGTGAGTGCATTGCTTACCACAGGCACGGTGTGAGTGCATTGCTTACCACAGGCACGGTGTGAGTGCATTGCTTACCACAGGCACGGTGTGAGTGCATTGCTTACCACAGGCACGGTGTGAGTGCATTGCTTACCACAGGCACGGTGTGAGTGCATTGCTTACCACAGGCACGGTGTGAGTGCATTGCTTACCACAGGCACGGTGTGAGTGCATTGCTTACCACAGGCACGGTGTGAGTGCATTGCTTACCACAGGCACGGTGTGAGTGCATTGCTTACCACAGGAACGGTGTGAGTGCATTGCTTACCACAGGCACGGTGTGAGTGCATTGCTTACCACAGGCACGGTGTGAGTGCATTGCTTACCACAGGCACGGTGTGAGTGCATTGCTTACCACAGGCACGGTGTGAGTGCATTGCTTACCACAGGCACGGTGTGAGTGCATTGCTTACCACAGGCACGGTGTGAGTGCATTGCTTACCACAGGCACGGTGTGAGTGCATTGCTTACCACAGGAACGGTGTGAGTGCATTGCTTACCACAGGCACGGTGTGAGTGCATTGCTTACCACAGGCACGGTGTGAGTGCATTGCTTACCACATGCACGGTGTGAGTGCATTGCTTACCACAGGCACGGTGTGAGTGCATTGCTTACCACAGGCACGGTGTGAGTGCATTGCTTACCACAGGCACGGTGTGAGTGCATTGCTTACCACAGGCACGGTGTGAGTGCATTGCTTACCACAGGCACGGTGTGAGTGCATTGCTTACCACAGGCACGGTGTGAGTGCATTGCTTACCACAGGCACGGTGTGAGTGCATTGCTTACCACAGGCACGGTGTGAGTGCATTGCTTACCACAGGCACGGTGTGAGTGCATTGCTTACCACAGGCACGGTGTGAGTGCATTGCTTACCACAGGCACGGTGTGAGTGCATTGCTTACCACAGGCACGGTGTGAGTGCATTGCTTACCACAGGCATGGTGTGAGTGCATTGCTTACCACAGGCACGGTGTGAGTGCATTGCTTACCACAGGCACGGTGTGAGTGCATTGCTTACCACAGGCACGGTGTGCAGCGGATGGTCGTCTGCCATTCGCTTGACGAGCGTTGTCAGCACTGACTGTGGAGGAGGGAGAGGGGGAAGGGGGAGGGGGAAGGGGGAGGGGGAAGGGGGAGGGGGAAGGGGGAGGGGGAAGGGGTAGGGGGAAGGGAGAGCGGGAAGGGGGAGGGGGGGAGGGCACGGCAGGAAGGGGCAAAGAGCATGGAGAGGGGAGAAGAGCAAGAAGCACCTGCATTGTGCATGAGCTGGTTACCACCGGTGCAGTGCAGCATGCATGGCAAGCATGGTGAGTGATTGAGGACATGCGTTGGGTTGCGCTTGCTTAACACGGAGATTGTGCATGGCCTGACAGCAAGGCAACAGATCTATCTCCCAACCATCCGAATGTATGGGCGTCCTAGATGCAGTTTTGGTCAAGATGGTCAGATTGGAACTAAGTGGGTGCTGCAGCCTTTGGGGGAGCTGAGCTGAACTAACCACCACCACCCACCTGGAAGTCGGGTGTCTCCGGGTGGAGTGGTGGCGAACCATGGGGGTCTCGCTCGCTCATACGTGATGCCATCTGGTAGACCAGCGGCAGGAACTTGTATGATGGCACCTGGGGCCGAGAAGAGGGAGGGGGTCGAATAACGTGTGAGTCGAGTGAGAATGCGGCAGGAACTTGTATGATGGGGCAAACCTACTTTCATGCTGTTTGTGAGGAACAGCAGAAACCGAAAATAGTGACACAAAAGCGCAGCTGGGCTGACTCACAGCTGAGATGGTTGTGAGCATCTCCGCATTGACCGCGTCCGCGGTGGCATCGTTGAGCAGAGTGAACCAGAGGGCTGTCAGGCGGAACACCTGTGCGAGTGGGGGCGAGTGGGCAAGAAAAAAGGGAGGAGCGGCCTCACCAGTGGGAAGGTGGGGTGTGGTGGTTGGAAGTTGAGATGAGCGCTAGGCAAGTTGGGAATGTGTCGGAAAACTGCTATCGCCAGCCATCTGTTCTTCCTTCTGTCCTGAGTGGTGTGCCACCTAGCTGTAAGGTTGAGGTAACAATGATCCACTATGCGAAAGGATAACAAGCGGAAAGCATCGGGTGTGTGTGAGAGAGTGAACTTACCTGGCCCAGGCTCGAACCGTGCATTTCTCAATGTGCGGCTTGAGCTTGGGCTGGTTCGTTCCCATTGGTTGCGTGGATTCCACCCCTTGGTGCTCTCCTACCAACTTCGCGTCAATTTCCTTGGTCCCCCACCCACCTACCCTTGAATGTGCATACTCAACATTACTACACCATAACTACACCGCACTCTGTGTCACCTTATATGCATAAACATGCATATATGGTGACAAATGGGGAGGTGCAAGCGAACCAGCTACTGCCACGTTTTTGGCTTGTTACCAACCTGATGCAGCACAGCACAGCGGGATCACTTCCAAATCTTACTGCTCGCAGCTCATGTCATGTATGAGTACTTTGATACGTCTTCAACAGAGATGTTAACAGGAACCACTTTGTTGGTTACCAACCACCTCATTAGTTACCACCTCATCAGTTACCACCTCATCAGTTACCACCTCATCAGTTACCACTTCATCAATTACCACTTCATCAATTACCACTTCATCAATTACCACTTCATCAATTACCACTTCATCAATTACCACTTCATCAATTACCACTTCATCAATTACCACTTCATCAATTACCACTTCATCAATTACCACTTCATCAATTACCACTTCATCAATTACCACTTCATCAATTACCACTTCATCAATTACCACTTCATCAATTACCACTTCATCAATTACCACTTCATCAATTACCACTTCATCAATTACCACTTCATCAATTACCACTTCATCAATTACCACTTCATCAATTACCACTTCATCAATTACCACTTCAGCAGTTACCACTTCAGCAGTTACCACTTCGGAAGTTACCACTTTGATGTTGAAAGCGTCGGAAGCAAGAAGACAGTTCCTGTAGTTGTCGAGAGCAGCACGCAGATACATGTCGTGCTCGCTCTGCACTCACCACCGCACAGCACACCACAGCACACCACAGCACACCACAGCACACCACAGCACACCACAGCACACCACAGCACACCAGACGGCGGTGGTAGAGGAAACCACAGGTCCTGTTTGATTGAGCACCACTCGTACGTGCCATAAATCCATGTGGCAGCGAATGAATGCTTGTATAAACAGATTAGGTTGAGGTGCTTGTGTTGTGCCTTGGTACAAAGGTGATAATAAGCAGTTTCGGCTTATTGCCTTTTGCGGGCCAACCAAGGAGGGACGGCAGGCAAATGGAATAAGGGATGGTAGACAGGAGGGACGGCAGGTGAGTGAGTGAGTGGGAGGGGAAAACAGGCGGGCGCCGCACCTGCAGGTCGTTGGCCTCCTGGTCGTCCATGCTCAGCTGCTTCTGCAGCTCCATGATCTTCATCCCGTACACTCGCCTCTCATCCTCCTGATATGACATGAAGTGGGTGCCGTGCGGTGCAATGCGGTGCCATGCGTGCGGTGGGGTGAGGCAGTGTCATGTCAAGTCCAGAAGTGGGTCTTGTTGGGTTGACTCGATAGTGGATGTGCGTAATTGGGAGTCCCTTTTGAGAATTCTCAAAAGCGACTCTTTGATTGATAGTGGATCTGGGTAGACAAAAACAGCGGGCAGGGCGGTGTTCAGAAGAGAGGTGGCAGGCACAACGGGCACAGCTGCACTCACTCGTCTGGAAGCCTTCAGTCGCTTCGTTATCTCCTCCAACTCCTTCCTCTGCCATCCCATGCCATCCCATGCCATGCCATGAAGGCAGAGAGAGTGGTGGTGGAAGGCAGTCAAGCAGAACATGGTGGGACGACAGAGGTGAGCAGGTGAGCAGGTGAACAGGTGAGAGCAGCTCGCATGTTCCCAACTGCACACTTTCAACAATAGTAGCAATTCGCGTCCAAATGTTCGTGTGTCTGCATCCTTGGCTACATGCATCCTTGGCTACATGCATGTCGGCTATGTGCGTCTTGTGTGCACTTCCCGTGCCGCCATGCCTCTCCCTCACCCCACCTTGTGTCCCTCTCACATCTCACCTTCTGCCTCGCTCGCACCACTCTTTCTGTCTCCCTCTCACCGCACCTTGTGTTTCCTCAGATCCTGGGCGGCATGCCACTGCTGCAAGTGCAGGCGGGCATGCATCAGCAGGAACAGCCCATCCACATAACGCGCCATCTGAAAATGCACCTCTGGTTGCTTGCGGGCATCCCTGTGCATGCATCATGTGGTGCGTGCACTTCCCGTGCTGCTGTGACTCTCACGTCACCCTCGGTCTCCCTTTCACCGCACCTTGTGTTTCCTCAGATCCTGAGCGGCTCGCCACTGCTGCGAGTGCAGGCGAGCGTGCAGCAGCAGGAACAGCCCATCCACATAACGCGCCATCTGAAAATGCACCTCTCCCCGCTGCCGCTGCTGCTGCCACTCGCCTTGCTCCTCCCCCTGCCCCCCCTGCTCCCCCGCATCCCCCTTCTTCCCCCCATTCCCCACCCGCTGTTGCTGCTGCTGCTGCTGCTCCATCAACTGCCACTCCTGTTCCTGCTGGTGCCAGTTATTGGCGAAAGGAAAGGAGGCGTAGCTTGGGGGTGCAGAGGCAGCAGCAGGCGAGGTGGAGGTGGCGGGCGGATGCTGTGTGAGGTCCACAGCGCGCCATAGGTAGTCATTTAGCACCACTCGTGAGCTGGTGGGCGTCGGATGGGAGAATGAGATAGCGAAGCGAGAGGGGAGAAGGAAAGAGGGGAGCCCAGAAAATCATTGAAGCAACTGAAATGGCTTGGATCGTTAATGGGATAGAAGAATCGAGGAGTGCACATGAAGTGGATTTTGGGTCAATGGCAGCTGTTGCCAACTCACAGTACACAGCATCGACATAAACATGTCATGCACGTGACTTCCACTTGTGGATAAAAGAAGGCTGTGCCGTTTTACATTGCTCCGCTTCTGCTTTGAAATTGATGCTCATCTCAGCTGTGAGTGGCGACGAATCCCACCCATCTCCTATGCGGAGATAACTACTACAACGGGAGCTAGACTACGGGCTAGGCACGGGTGCTCGTGTGATCTCTGCGTTCGTTGGTCCTTAGTCGTTTTCCTAGTGTACACACTGCTTGCTAGTTCACAAGGTAATTTGGCAAGAGTTTTACTAGAGAAAGTTGACAACAATGATACAATGAAGTTGGCAAGGCAAGACTACATCAGAGCTAGCATGCAAGCAGGACGACTGCCAGCGCAGCACGGTCGACCGCGTGCCAGCACGACCTGGTCGACCGCGCCCCAGCAGTGCAGAGTCGCGGCTTGCCAACACTGCAGGTCGACGGCGTGCCAACGTCGCAGGTTGACGGCGCGCCGACGTTGCTCCCGCAGGACAGCAGCGCACCTACTTCGCAGATGATTGGCGTGCAGTGCCTCGTCACCTGCACAGCGCACACACCACATCAACTACGTGCTGACGACTGCCTCTGATGCACCACGTCGACCTCGGGATACCATCACCGAGGTCGTCCTCGCCAAAACCACCCGGGCGAACGTCGCATGCCTCCGCAGAACCTCGTCACCCAGGTAACCTGGTCGACCGAGCAACCAGGTCGACCAGAGGCTCCTGTGCGTGCCCGTCGACCACCCAGGTCGACGACCACTTCCGGTCGACCTCCCCAGGTCGACCACTGCCTCTGGTATGTGCCGGTCGACCTCCCAAGTCGACGGACACCTCCAGTCGACCTCCCCAGGTCGACCACTACCCCCTGGTCGACCAGCTCCAAGTCGACGTCACTCCAGGTCGACCAGAAGGTCTGGTCGACTCCTCAGGTCGACCAGAAGGGCTGGTCGACTTACCGGGTCGACCAGAAGGTCTGGTCGACTTCCCAGGTCGACCAGAAGGGCTGGTCGACTTACCAGGTCGACCAGAAGGTCTGGTCGACTTCCCAGGTCGACCAGAAGGGCTGGTCGACTTACCAGGTCGACCAGAAGGTCTGGTCGACTTCCCAGGTCGACCAGAAGGGCTGGTCGACTTACCAGGTCGACCAGAAGGTCTGGTCGACTTCCCAGGTCGACCAGAAGGTCTGGTCGACTTCCCAGGTCGACCAGAAGGGCTGGTCGACTTACCAGGTCGACCAGAAGGTCTGGTCGACTTCCCAGGTCGACCAGAAGGTCTGGTCGACTTCCCGCCAACTGACAATTCCGCTCCCAAGGGTGAAGCAGTACCCCTGAGAGGAGCGTCGGTCGGTCTGGTCATCAGCCCAGGAGGAGTCGGTGTAACCCTCTAGGCGAGGAGGGGAGAGCCCACCGAGTGTGAGGACGTGAGACTTGGTGCCCTGAAGATAGCGCAACACCCGCTTGGCTGCCTTCCAGTGAAGGTCAGTGAAGCGTCCAGGGGCCACGTAGCGAGAGAGGACACTGACAGGATAGGCCAGGTCTGGCCGGGTGCACATCATGGCGTACATGAGGGACCCAACAAGCTCCGGGTATGGCTCAGAGCAGGCCTCTGGTGTGGGTACCGCTGGAGCTGTGAGGAGGTGTTGCAGCGGCAGCGGGGTGGCAACAGGTGTGCATAGCTCCATCTCAAATCGCTTGAGCACATTGTCGATGTAGAACTCCTGGGAGAGTGAGATGGTGCGAGCCTTGCGATCACGAGTGATCTCCATCCCCAGGTAGTGCTTGAGGTCACCGAGGTCTTTCATCTGGAGAGCCTTGCTTAGGGCTGCCTGGACTGAGGTCATCTGGGCCGAGTCCTTGGCCACGAGGATGAAATCATCCACGTAGACTAGGATGTAGAAGGGCTCAGAATGACGGCGGATGAAGAGAGTCGGGTCAGCAGTTGAAGGGTGGAAGTCCAGGGAGAGGAGGACTTCTTTCACCTTGTTGTGCCATTCGCGAGGGGCTTGCTTAAGGCCGTAGACGGGGCGATTCAGCTTCCAGACAGTGTTGGGAGGGAAATCTCCTGGGAAGCCTTCTGGTCTGTCCATGAACACTGTCTCCTTGAGACGTCCTTGTAGGAAGGCGGATGAGGCATCCATGGATTTGATCTCGAAGTCTTCTCGAGCTGCGACATCCATGAGCGTACGAATGGTGGGAGGTTTGGATGTGGGGGAGAAGGTTAGGAAGAAGTCGCGGTACTGCTGCTGGGTGAAGCCCTTGGCTACGTAGCGCGCTTTAAACACCGGTGCCTCGTCTGGGAGCTGTTTTACACGGAACAACCACTTGCCCCCGACGATGTTGACTCCTGGAGGTGGAGTCTCGTCGTCGAAGGAGTGGTTGCGGGTGAATGCTGCAATCTCCGCGTCCATGGCAGCACGCCATTTGGCAGAATGAGGGCCTGAGAGAGCCTCTTGGACGGTGAGAGGGATAGGGATGGTCGGGTTCTCCGCGAAGTTGAGGGAGGGTGAGCCAGTGATGTCGGGGAAGATGTGTGAGAGCTGAGGAAGGACTGCATGGAGATCACACAGTTCCTCATGCCTGTCTTCTAGAAGGGTAGAGGGCACATCCCCCCCAGCAGGAGGAGGCGGTGTGATCGCGGTGTATCGAAGAACCATCGCGAGTGGAAGAGTAGCGCGATGTGAGCGAGTGCCATGAGCCACCGGGGAAGAGGGTGGGGCTGGCGGGGTCGGAGAGGGTGACTTAGCAGGCTTGGGCGGGGGAAGGGGTCGCCGGCGGTACGTGATCAGCTCGGGCGACTGTGGGAGAGCGGGTTCCTCTGTGGTGGGGGGAGCCGGGGGAGGAGGTGGGGCCGGAGGGTGGGACCGCCGATGGTAGGTGATAGGTGCGCTCGGAGGGGGCGGCGCAGCGGGAAGTGGGGAAGGTGAGGGGGAGGGAGGAGCAGCTGCCGAAGACACCGGTGAGGCCGGGTCAGTGACCTCAGAGGGAGATGGTGCGATGGCAGGAGAGGGAGGAGGTGAGGGAGCAGGAGCAGGCGGGAGGTCGGGAGGCGCATCAAAGTCTGCCCACACGAGGGAGGGTGGATCAGGGAGAGGGTCCCGTCCCGAAGGGGAGTAGAATGGGCGGGTCTCATCAAAGACAACGTCACGGCTCCTGACCAACTGGTGAGTGGAGGGATTGAGGAAGAGGTAGTCAGGTGAGTCGGCGTTGTGCCCGAGGTAGATGCACGTCTGAGTCTTGGGACCGAGCTTGCCACCGTTATGCCGTCGAGCCTGAGGGTTGAGGAGGACATAGGCGGTGCATCCCCAAACGCGAAGAGAGCGAGCAGTGGGCGTTTTCCCGAGCCAGAGTGTGGTTGGAGTGGTGTCGGGAAGGTGCGGGTGGGGGTAAAGGTTGTAGAGGAGGGCAGCGTGGTAGAGAGCGTACCCCCAAAGAGAGTGAGGAGCGTTGGAGTGGCTGAGGAGGCACCGAGTGATCTGCACCAGGGTGTGGTTGCGGCTCTCAGCTATGCCGTTCTGTTGAGGGCTGTCAGGGAGGGTGAAGTTTTGCTGGATGCCTTCGGAGGAGCAGAAGGCTTTGAGCTTGTCGTTGCAGAACTCACCCCCCCCATCCGAGTGAAGGCGCTTGACCTTGCGGTCAAAAGTGGTCTGTGCCTGCTTGACCCACGCTATGATGACCTCGGGTGCCTCAGCCTTAGTGTGGAGGAGGTGAACAGAGACATAGCGGGAGTGGTCATCCACAATGATAAGGAAGTAGCGATAGCCACCTCGTGCGAGAACAGGGGCAGGGCCCCAGACGTCCATGTGCACGAGGTCCAGTGGTGCTGCAGCGATTGTGGGTGAGGCAGCATGGGGTTGTTGGCGCAGTTTGCTCTTGGTGCAATCAAGGCACGTGGGAGCTGGTGAGTCAGGTGGTGGGGGAAGTGCGGCTGGCAGGCCGAGGAGAAGTTTCTTGGAGGCCATGTCAGCAAGAGTGCGGAAATTTGGGTGCCCGAGCCGATGGTGGTAGAGGATGGTCGGGTTGGAGAGGGTGCGACATGAGCATGGTGTGATAGTGGCCTGTGCTTGGGTGGTTGACACCTGTGGGAGAGGGACGCGTAGCGTGTAGAGGCCGTTGCTGTTGAGGGTGTAGCGGGCCAGAGTTTTGTTGGTGCGTGGATCGATGATGTCGCAATAGTCCTCGTTCTCTGGGAAGATGGTGCGTAGCCCTGCCTCCTGAATTTCTGTTTGGGCAACTAGATTGTGACGCAGTGAAGGCACGCACATGCCAGTGACAGTGCCGGATGGGAAGGCGGGGCATGGGACTGTGGAGGTACCCTTGGCGAGGGTGGTGAAGCTTGAGTCAGCTCCTAAGAGAGGGATAGGTGTTGGGTAAGGTTTGAAGGAGAGGGTCTCCTTGAGCACGGTGTGAGTGGCCCCGCTATCGAGTGTGAACTCTATGTCATGAGCCGATGTACTGTGAGGTAGCTTCATTAATCATGGCAGTGCCAGGGAACAACAGGTTGATACGCACATCAGCAGGAGCAGCATCACTAGCACTAGTCGAAGCGGGGTTCTGGTCCTCAACTAGGTTGGCCTTGCGAGAGCGCATCCAATTCGGCGGCTTCTTGTCCACTCCGTGAATGGCGTACCATTCGTCGTCTTTCTTCTTGAAGCACGTGGCGAGGGGGTGGTTAGTGCCACCACACACTTGTCCCTTGCGATTCCCATACTTGACGACGTAGGGGCACGGAGGAAAGCGGTTGCGCTGGAAGGGCGCCGAGGCGAGAGCCGCTGCGACACTTGCTTGAGGCATGGGAGCGCGGATAGCGTACGCCTTGGCCTGAGCCGTGGAGTCTTTCTCGGCAGAGAGGAGTGCGGTGGAGACCTTAGCAAAGGTGAGGTCCTCTGCTGAGAGTGTGAGGAGCATCTTCCTCGTGACCTCATATGCCGAGGTGAGTCCAACAAGTAGGGCGGCTGCAGGGGCTTGCTCGGGGAAGACTATACCCAGCTCCTTGAGTTCGCCATGAATGGTCTGCACCTTGGCAATGTAATCGGCCATTCCCGAGCAGTCCTCAAGGCGGACCTGAAACATGCTAGGGATGAGAATGGCCACGCCGACCGCCGTCTTGTTCATGAACCGATCCTGGAGGTACTTCCAGATGGCGTTGGAGGTAGGGTAGTTATGGAACGTGTTGACAAGTTCGGGAGGGGTGGAGGCGATGAAGACGCTGATGATGGCAGCATCGGCCTTCTCCCATTTCCGGTACTTCTCAACAGCCTCCTCGTACGCCCTCACGTCAGTATCACTTGGAGATTCGGTCGGCTCACGGGGAATAGTAGGCTGTTTCCCCTTGCCACGGTTGAGGAGGACGTCCTTGAGGTCAAGGCCCTGCACGTCACGGCTCAGGAGGTGCTTGTCAACTCCGTAGCTCCACGCCTTGAAGTTGGAGCTAGAGCCATCAGCTTCAAGGCGGAGCGGGGTGATGGGGTTCGCCATGGTGGAAGACGAGAGAGCCATGGTGGAGACCCCTTCTCGCGCGGAGCGCCGCTCTTAAGTCACCGAGCGGCGCGCAGCGCGGCGATTCCGAAATCCGACGGACCGGAATAGCGAAAATCGTCAATGTCGGCCGCGTCGGAATGTCACGTAGAAGTTTTTTTTTTTTTTTTTTTTTTTTTTCTTTTCCCCTTTTCAGGCCGCCAAAATTAGGTCGAATCGGCCGATTTCCGTAGATCTATCACACATCCCCCCACACACCACCCTCGGCTTCGCGGCTACACGGCTGCTCTGCTTCGCGGCTACACGGCTGCTCGGCTGCGCTGCTGCACCTGTTCAGCTGCGGGAAGGGGGAAGGGGTAGGAGTGCAGATGCGGGGCGACGGGCGGCAGCCCGACGTGAAGCTGCGGGGCGACGGGCGGCGGCCCGACGAGAAGCTGCAGGGCGACGGGCGGCAGCCCGACGAGAAGCTGCGAGGCGACGGGCGGCGGCCCGACGAGAAGCTGCAGGGCGACGGGCGGCGGCCCGACGAGAAGCTGCGGGGCGACGGGCGGCGGCCCGACGTGAAGCTGCGAGGCGACGGGCGGCGGCCCGACGAGAAGCTGCAGGGCGACGGGCGGCAGCCCGACGAGAAGCTGCAGGGCGACGGGCGGCGGCCCGACGAGGAGGAAAGCGAGCGTTAGGTTATAGCGCGGACGATGCGCTTACCAGATAAATTACCGTCGAAAGTGACGGGAAGGTGCAGCGGGAAAATTTCCGCCGACGAATGTCGCGAATCACCGGCGACGAGGTTGACGATGGCTTCGCCGAGGTTTGCGGGACGAGTATCCGCAGAGGTAAGAAGATCACGATCCGCGTATGCGGTTGAAGGGCTCTGATACCATGTCAGAAATAGGCTTAGAAGCGATGCATTAGTAATGAGCTTGAAGCTCTTTAAGTACATCCAAGAGGGGTAGGAAAAGGATGGGGAAGGGAATCGGGGGCAATCTCTAGGGATTGGGGGTAATCCCAAGGCAATCTCCAATTGGTGGGTTGGAGATTGGTTGGAGATTACATTTGGGTTTGGTTGGGATGTAGGTGTACACCCAACCAAACACAATGTGCAAACTACACTACTCTAGGATATAGAAAATACAAAGTACAAATTGTGAGATTGAAGACTAACACTAACACATACAACTCCCGTTGACATCCTATGCTTCTAGCCTCCCAATCCGGCCGAACCTGATAGAGCGTGTCTCCCCAAGCCACTTGGCCGCCAAACCAAGCGTGTAGACACGGTCCGGCACCGGCACACATGCAGCAGAAGCAGCAGCGGAAGCAGCAGGCAAAGCAGATCCCTGGGAGGCGTGGGGTGGCAGGTCGTGGCGCAGCAGGTGCTGCAGCAGGCGCACTGCCATGTCCTGCTGCCCCTCCTGCGCCAGCAGCTTCGCCTCCTCCACCCGCCCACAGAACGCCACCCCCTCCACCGCCCACGCTCCCTCCTCTGCCAACACTGTGGGACCGCTGCTTGTTGCTGATGGAGAAGGCACAGTGATGCGTATGTGGCCCGTGGCTGTGAGGGCGCGGCAGGCGTCCTTGAGATGCTGCACGTGCACTGCTGCCTGGCTCAGCAGATGCGCCTGTGGTCGATGGGGAAGGAGAGATGCTTGAGAAAGAAGCATGGCAGTCGAGTCACCAGCTTGGACAGCAGCATGGCAGTGAGCAGCACGGCAGCGAGCAGCATGGCACGGCAGCTACCCCACCCACCTTGCGGCATAGGCTGGCAGCCTCCAGCAGGTGCAGTGGCAGGACAGCATGCTGCGCGCTTGCCCGCAGGTACGCCCCCCGACAGCTCAGCAGCGGCTCCTGTAGCTCGAAGCTGCCCCCACACGCTGCCAGCTGGCGCTGCCACGTGTGCAGCTGCCACAGGGGGGGATCAGAATAAATAGGGTGGAGATGGGCAGAGCAAACCAAATGCATAAGCGAATTCAAAGGTACGAATGAATGCAGTGGCGATAGATACTGGAATCACTGAGAAGTGTCAGAATCGATTTGCGTATGTGGAGTGGAGTGGAGGGCATGAGCGGAGTGGTGGTGGAGGGAGTGGTGGTGGAGGGAGTGGTGGTGGAGGGAGTGGTGGTGGAGGGAGTGGTGGTGGAGGGAGTGGTACAGAGTGACTAATTGCTTCCCAGCCGTGGCTCACATCGGACTCACTCGCACCCACTTTACGAGCTTGTTATGATTCAGGAGTGCCCTACCTCGTATTCCACCTCTGTATTCCCCACCTCTGTGCACCACACCAGCGTGGCCCCCCACCCATGTGGTCCCCACGCCCGTGCTACTTACCTCTGTGTGCCGTGCCTGCCCTGCGTGAGTGGAGCGGCCTGCACCATTGGCGAGGGTGAGAGCTGCTGCCTCTTGCACATTCTCCAGGGCCTAAATGATACACGCAGGTGGAAGAGGGGAAGGAGAATAAGGGTGTAGAGGAACGTGGTGTAACATGTGTGTGCGCCCATGGCCGGCAGTGGCTGGCATCAGAGACGGATGCATTGCCATGGCAGTTGACACGGATGGCTTTTGAGGCGCCTCAATAGGGACGAGTGGATGAAGGGCGAGTACATAAGAGAGCCTGGCTGACCTGAAGGAGGACGAGGCGGGAGTTGACGTGGAGAGCACTCTCTGCTGACGTGGACGCCAGCTGGCACACAATGGTCTGTGCAACGGCAACGTTGGGTGGAGGAAAACACGTGCTAATGAGTGCGAGATACTGTGTTTGAGACGCCTCAGAAACCATCTCATTTCATGTGGTGCTGGGAAACACGCGTAGATGAGTGTAGTCGTAGTGTAGGAGAAGTGCGTGAGGGTGTGAGTGAGTGCACAGTTGTGTATGGGGGAGAGAGTGTAGGATGAAGGGTAGGTGAAGTTTGTAGGTTTTTAAAAAACAATGAGGTGAGAGATAGAACGTGTGTGCGAGTGCTGCAAGTGCGTAGTGAGAGAGTAGTGGTGAGTGGGTACTGAGTGTACACTAGAACAAAACGCCATGAGACAGTACTGTTAAGAAGCAGGCAGCACCTGTTGAGCGGCAGCAGCAGCGGCAATGGAGGAGGCATAATCAGCATCATGGAGAGCCTTGAGCGCACTGCCAGGGGAAGGGCGGGAGGGAGGGTCGTGGGTGAGTCGTAGGGGCGAGAGGACGAGAGGAGAGGGCGATGGATGGGTGGGCGAGGGGAGGTAGTGGATGAAAGAGGACGAGAGGAAGTGATAGAATGAAGAGGCGAAGAGGGGACAGGCCTTCTCTTGCAGTGGACGTTCAGTGACTGCAAGAAATAGCATGTCAGAAACACATGCTGTTGCCCAGACTTGCCCACAGCGAACTGAAAGAGCATGCGTAATATGAGATCACTTTGAGTCGCCTCGACTCAAGAGCCACCTCTTGCAGTGGGCGGTCAGTGGAGCTGAGATGAGATCGTGGCCCCACCCCACCCCAACCCACCCCCCCCACCCCACCCCACCCCACCCCACCCCACCCAGCCATGGCCCCACAGGTGGAGCCGGCAAGCTCCAGGATCCAACGCGCACACGGAGAGGGGAGGAGGTGCAGTGCACACCTGTAGAGAGCGCCATGGAAGCCAGCAGCTGTGCCACCGGGCATGGCCATGGCTGATGTGGTGTTGCTGCCTGGTGGGGCTGTGAGTGTGAGCGAGTTGGAGGGCGGGTAGTGTGATGACTGGTGTGAGTCGGGTAGCTCAACTGCTGGCAGGTCCCACTTGCCCATCTTCCACGCAGCTTCGTACTGCAGATGGGAGGGATTCAGGGGTGGGAAACAGCAGCAGGCACAGGAGAGGAGAGTGTGTGTGGTGTGGGTGTGAACAGACAGACCAGGTTGAGATAAGACAGTAGCGTCGTTGCGGTCAAGTCAACCCAGAAATACTTTGACATTTTTTTTTATCAAAGAAGCACACGGATGTGTGAAAGTTCACAGACATGAAAAATTTCCTATTGACTGTGTGATGCCATGTGCGTGTGTGCGCGAGGATGAACATGTTGGGCGGTGCAAGATGTGGGGATGTTGTGGATGATATCTTATAACAAAAGGGCACTTGGACACGGAATCAAACCTGAAGCTCGAGAAAGTCGGTTCTATCAGGACCAAGCGCTCCATCCTCCGCCACAGTGGCACCTGCAAGATCACCAACACCACCAGTGGCAACACCAGTGGCAACAGCAGCAGCTGGCGCTGTGATGGCACCGCGGCAATACGCTTGCAGCACGTGGGAGCATGCCATGTGCTGCAGTGCTGCCACCACTCCCTGCTGCGCCCACTGCCCCTGCCACTGTGACTGTGACTGTAACGAGGGAATTGCAGGAGTAGCAGCAGAGGAAAGAGCAGCAGCAGCAGCAGCAGCAGGTGCAGGGCGGTGTGACATGGCATGGTCTAAGGTTTCCAGAACCTTCTCCCATCGCCCCTCGTGGCGGTCGATGGCCAGACGGGAGGGCAGCTGCATGCACGGCCACGGGGGCACGCAGGGGGGAAAGAGGACAAAAAGTAAGCCCGATTTGTCCCAGCTCTTGAAAGCAGTTGAGCGCATTTTCATGCGTGAGTCATGTCATGTCACATCATCATGGCAGGCAGTATGCAGTTCAGATGTAATGCAGTGAATCTTGTGTTGACTGACTGCATCACGTCACAGCCCCCCCCCCCCCCCCCCCCCCACATTGCATGCGCACCTTGTTGGTGCGGGCAACCGCATAGATGGCATCGGGCTCGTTCACGGTGCTGTAGCACCCCATCAGCAGCGCCTCATGCGGCTCCACCTGCCAGCAGAGTAGAGAAGCAATGCAGTGCAGTGCAGTGCGGTATCGGGAGGATTTGGGAAGGTGATGTGGGAGAGGAGAGAGTCGCCATTCGCAAGAATTGACCCGTCATTGAGGGGAAGGGGAGGGTAAGGTGGGGGAAGGGCACAACACAACAGGTGTCTGTCTAGGCAAGACTGGAACTCCTAAGATCCAGAGAAAGAAGCATGGCCGTTTCAACTGTGTATGCACAACAAGATGTGGGGTTCCAGCGACCATGAGGTGTGTGTCTGCGGTTACCGCATCGGAGTCTTCATCGAAGCTGGGTTCGCCGAGAGTGGGGCGTCCAAAGCGCGCCTCACACCAGAGCTCCGCGTAGAGGATGGCCGTGAGTGTGGCGCCACAGTGCTGCACAGCGGAAGGAAGCACACGCGCATCAACACGCAAGCAGCCTCCCTTGGTTCTACAGTGCTACAGCGCTCACACGGTGCATGAGACGAGATAAGACAATGCCGCGTCTACACTTATTTCGATGGTCAATCCATCGGAGTCAGGTACACGACTAGGCAACACACAAGCAGCCTCCCTTCTTGTTCCAGGGAGGAGGTGTTACCTGTGCGGCCTGTGCCAGGGTAAGCAAGTCCAGCTGCAACCAGACAGGCTGAGACGGAGCAGAGGGAGGGAAGGCAGTCATGCAAGCACACATGTACACGAGGGGGAATGAGAGAAATAAGAGAAACACATTTGGGGCGGCACAGAAGGTGACTGGAATGGAATGGATGAGCGTCCGGACGCTGGACGCGTCAAACATGTTTGACGCTGGACGTTTGGGAAAAAAATTCCGGGCAGCCCGGAAAAAAAAATCCTCACGAAATTGACTCGCGATTTCATCGCGACCAGAATCGCGATGAAATCGCCAAATGTGGGTCGCGATTTTGACCTACAAAAACGCAACCCACAGTTTTTCCCCCTCACACATTTGTATCCATCCCCATCTACTTCTCCCAACCAGTTCGACCCCCAACTAAACCAGAGAGCCAGATCCAGGTTGACATTAGACAGATCTGTTTCTCTCACATTGCCTAGCATACCTAACCCTACAATCCGCCAGTCACGCTACTTAGGCTTCGTAGTGTGAATTTAGGGTCAAGGAGATTAAGTTACAATGTCCTAGGTTATGTATGTGAGAACACGAGTATTTAACAAATGTGTGAGATTAGAAGATTTTCTGGAGTATTTATAACTTTAGGAGAAAAATGTGAACTTGTTGCATCTTAACTCCTGTGTAGCCTTACTAGGCAGGTTTTTTTCACCCCTGCCCGGGAAAAGTTTTGCCCTGCCCGGACTAGCGTCAAGAGGGCGTCCAGGGCAGAGGAACCCGGGCGTCCAGCGTCTGGACGCCCCGTCCTGACGCCAGCGTAAAAAACGCTGGACGCGTCAGGCGCAACATAGCTGCCAAGGAGGCATGGGGGAAAGGAAGGAAGCAGGGAAGGAGGAAAAAGAGGGCAAGGAAGCACGGATGGAGGCAAGGGAGGAGGGAGGGAGGCAAGGGAGGAGGGAGGGGGGCAAGGAGGCTTACAGACTGCCAGTTCTGAGGAGCCTCTGGGTCGTCCTCATCCACTTCAGCCCCCTTCCCCTCTGTTCCACGTTGAGCTGCACCCGCCTCTTCTGCTGCAGCGCCACCTGCTTCCGTCTCCGGGCCCCCTGCAGCAGACTCCGCAGCGCTCTTCTTGGTCCCCCTCCTGCCCCCTCGTTTGCCCTTGCTGCTGCCGCCTGCCACGCCTGCTGCTGTGCGGGTTGATGTCTCTGTGGTGGTGCTGGGCGCTGCTGCTGATGGCGCCTGGATGGGGGAAAGTGAGGAGGAGACGCGAGGAGACGCGAGGAGACGTGGGACAGACAGACATACGGATGAGAAGGAATAGCAAGAGGCGAAGAGCATCGCAGCGGGGTAAGAAAAAAGACCCGTAGGGGAAGGAAGAAGGAAGAAGGAAGAAGGAGAAGAGGAAAACATGAGCAAGGGGAAGCACCTTGGCAAACTAATACGTGTAGGGGAAGGAAGAAGGAAGAAGGAGAAGGGGAAAACATGAGCAACTCAACATGGCGGCTGTAACACCAGAAACTGGGGTGAGGAGAAGCACCTTGGCAGCACTCTTTCGAAGGCCTACAGCACGCGCGGCAGCAGCAGTGGCAGTGGGGGGAGGGGCCATGCGAGCGCGGGTGTGGCAGGCTCTGAGAGCATTGAGCGAGTCTAATAGGAGCTGCAATGTGCGTGGTGATACCAGGCGCGCTGGCTGCAGCACACGAGTGGTGAGCTGTTGAAAGGAGTGGGTGGGGGGCGGGGAAAAAGAGGAGTGGGTGGGGGGCGGGGAAAAAGAGGAGTGAGGGCTTTTAAAGGGTGTGGCAGGCTCTGAGGGCGGTGAGTGCGCCTAGGAGGAGGTGCAATGTGCGTGGTGACACCACACGCGCTGGCTGCAACACGTGGGTGGTGAGCTGCACGTGGGGGCGAGGGGGAAAGGAGAAAGGGGCAGGGTTGTGCGGACTGTTAGAATTATATTTTCTAGCATGCTAACACTTGTGACTGTACACCAGTTGTGGTGTACAGTTGGGTTGGGACTACACCCAACTTTGGGTGTAGTCTTGCATTGTGGGGTGCCAATCCACCCAATTGTGGTGGAGCCCCCAAATGCAACTCACTTGGCCTAAGGTTGCCTCACTTCCCAAAGTGAGGCCAACCCAACCTATGGTCAACCCAACCTATGGTCAACCCAACCTATGGTCAACCCAACCTATGGTCAACCCAACCTATGGTCAACCCAACCTATGGTCAACCCAACCTATGGTCAACCCAACCTATGGTCAACCCAACCTATGGTCAACCCAACCTATGGTCAACCCAACCTATGGTCAACCCAACCTATGGTCAACCCAACCTATGGTCAACCCAACCTATGGTCAACCCAACCTATGGTCAACCCAACCTATGGTCAACCCAACCTATGGTCAACCCAACCTATGGTCAACCCAACCTATGGTCGACCCAACCTATGGTCAACCCAACCTATGGTCAACCCAACCTATGGTCAACCCAACCTATTGCCAACCCAACCTTTCCCCTCCAAGCTTCTCATCCAACCTATGTATGCTTGTTCCTACCCTGATCAAGTTATTGGTTCCATTTCCAACTTTCACACGGACGAGGATGAGAGTCTCCTCAGAAGAGGCGGAGAGAGGGGGATGGGAACATGGAGGTTGAGGGTAATGAGATTGGAAGCATTTAAACAAAGAACTGGGGAAACTGGTTTGAGACAGTGAAACAACGGGGAGAGGGCGACGACCCACCTGGGAAGAGATAGTGCGGCAGAGGAGACTGGAGGGAGCATGCGAGGCAGCGAGGGTGGCGAGTGTGTGGGGGAGGAGCAGCGCAGCGAGTGAAGCATTCACACGGCACAATGGTGCGCACAGACTGGTGGAGGGAGGCGGACCAGAGAGGGGAACGGGGAGGGAAGAAAAGGGAGGAGAGGGTAGCATGCAGGGGGGGATGGGCGGTCTCACAGAAAAAGGGAGCGAGGAAAGGAAAGGAACATTGCGCGTATTCGATGGTTGGTTGGTGCACACAGGGGCGGGGTGGGGGGCTCAAAGTGGGAATAGGGATGCCAGAGCCGGACCAAATTATTCATACTCATCACTCACGTGAGAATGTCGTCTGGCGCGTGCAGAATGAGCAGAGACAGCACACGGCACACCCACTCCTCGTGAGATGCGCCCACAGCCTGCCACACTGCGGGGTCGTCCAGTGGAGGCGTGCGGGCTGGATGAAGTGGATGACGGACAGGGGAGAGAGAGAGGGACAGAGAGATAGAGCGAGGGAGGTGTCTAATAAGAGACAGACTGCCAGCAAAATGCAATTGAGTGGGAAAGCGAGGGAGATTAGTCGTGCAACAACGTTTGAATATACTTGCAGTAGATGTGGGAGACGGTGCGATGGGAGATCGATGAGCATGTCTCAGAGTTGTTGGCATGTCCAGTGTTGTTGGCATGTCTCATTGTTGTTGGCATGTCCAGTGTTGTTGGCATGTCCAGTGTTGTTGGCATGTCAAGGCGCTAACAGCATGAAACACGCACCTGCTGCCTCGGCTCTGAGGCGCTGGATGATCTGCTGTGCACGGGCAGTGTTGACCGTCTTTATGTGCGCCTGGAGAAGGCGAGAGCATGACAGTGAAAATCAGCAAGCGATCTCAGGGTGCAATTTGCAAAGGGACTTGCGTGCGTAACACGACGCAGGTTCTTTGTCAACATAATGCTCGCAGGTGTGAATGAGCTGCAGGCCAAGGGAACCAGAGAGCATGGCATGATGCATGCACGAACAGAACAGGTGTCGAGTGATGCATGCGTGCGTGTTTACCTCAAACCAGCATCCAGAGCCGCTTGTTTTGGTTTGTTTGGACATGTCTCAAAGCAAGAAAAGATAGCATAGCAGCAAAGCAGGCCAAGACACACTTGCAGGCAGGAGAGGCAAGGCAAGGTGCAACACGTGGCAATGCTGCAGGTGAGGTGCACCTCGACATGCTTATTCACACCACCCGACGTGCATAGCTGTCTTTCCATCCGTGCATCAACTCAACCCACCTCGAGGTATTGCTTCTCCTCAAAGCCCACGGCAGTGAAGACCCGATGCCCCCTCTCCGTCATGAGAATGGCCTGCCATGGAAGCAAGCAGTGCAGTGCATGCAGGGGACATGGTGGACATGGGGACTAGTGGAAGCGAGTACTCTCTGATGATGCCCCTAAAACAGGAAGGACAAGCAGAGAGGTACAGTCATGGAGTGATTCAGCAGGCTTAGCTTGATGTTGCCACCACGTGGAAATACGATGGGCCTTAACTCAACGATTGATGCCTGATTCTGCCTCGAGAAAGGAGCAGACAGGAGAAAGGAGGAGGCAAGCAAACGGACCTCGATGGTTTGTGCAGCAAGCTGAATGGCATGGACGTCCGGGTCCACCAGGAGGCTGGCCAGCAGCTGGAGCACCGATACAATCACTCCCTCGTGAATGCCCTCGCCTGCTGGATCCGCATTCACTACTGTCACACCACCCGTGGGCGCTGACGCTGCTGCTGATGATGCTGTGAAGGGTGGCTTGAAGGAAACGGCGGAGGCATCCCATATGCCCAGCTGCCAGCATACGGCACAGCAGCGCACAATAAGGATGGATGGAAGCATAGCGAGTGGGAGAAGGGAGCGTGAATGCAGTGATCCTGGCATGCCGGCAACAGCTATCAAACGGAGGGAAGAAAGGTACGAGCTCACATTAAGCAAGGGTGTCTCACGAGAGGCTAGAAGCTATTCATGTGCAAGTCCAGCAGGCCATCACTCACAGCAGCCAGAAGCCTGCTGAGGCATGCCCGGATGGAGCTCGTGCAGGGGTCCGACTCGCTCAGCTGGCGTGACACCTGCAGCAGCTGCCACGTGGCAGTGAGGGCCTCAGCAGAGGGTCGCGGCACGCCATCCCCAGGCCTCCCTGCGTCCAGCTCAGGGCTGCTGCTGCCTGGTGCCCCCTCCACGCCTCTGGCTGCAGGGGCAGTGTTGTCGCGCCACAGGAGGTGCTTGGTGGCGGCGAGGTGGCTGCAGAGAGATTCCAGACTGAGATGAGAGGGTAGGGAGGGGAGGAAGCGGGGGGTTGCATGGGAGGGGAGATAGTGGGCAGTGAGGAAGGAGAGAGAGGCACGGAAGACTGCTGCTGCTGCGGGAAATGCGATGCACTTTTGGAAGATGTCAAAAGTTGCAGCGCATACAGCATGTGCATCGAAAGTGGTGTGACAAAGAATTTAATTAAAAAACAGGAGAGGTATGTAGCACCTCTTACAGGCTCAGCAGTAGCAGCCTAGAAGGTACTAGTAAGTGTGCTAGAGCACTCGTTGAACAGACACGTGTCCACTGCACCGGTCAAATGAGCACCTTCCTGCAGCATCGATCCAATCAAGTTCACCCTCAAAATCTGACCTCAACTTCACCCTTGATTCGATGTGCACACCTCTGTGCGAGAACAGCTGGGGAGAGGCTGGTGGCCCGAGAGGCAAGCTGCAAGACAGTGGAGGGAGGCAAGGGAGGGAGGGAGAGAACCTGGGATTGTATAGAGAGGTTACGTGGGCAGTGGGCAGCATAGGCAGCAGAATTGGCAGTGAGTGAGGAAAGAAGAGAAGCAGAGAGAAGAATGTACATGCAGAGAGAAGAACACACAAGCACACTCTGACAGCTGAAATCTGGTCCTGCTGTGTTTTGATAATTCAGACCAGCCACAGCTGGGTTAAGCTGGGAGCGTGGGGCGATGGAGACAGAACAATCCTTGTGCCTGTGCCATGTTCGGGCGGGAAAGCAGCACACCTGTGTTAGCTGTTGTGGCAGAGGCAAGTCGTGGGAGAGCGAGGAGAGAGAGTCGGCGATGGGAGCCAAAGAGGGATGCGTTGCCACTGCTGCTGCTGGCATGTGGAAAAGCTGCAGAGGGGAGTGGTGTGAGTCAGGTACAGATGCACACGGAGAGAGGGAGAAAGAGATTATGGGTTGGTTGGGTTAGGCTAGTAGGAGACGGCCTCACATCACCAAAGGAACAATAGCTGGCTAGATGCTGCGATAATCCCACTCATAAAGGTTTGGTTTTTTAGTAGACTAAAAAATAATCCCACTTACATAGGCCACCACGACCGGAGGTCAATGAAGGGTGCTTTGTGCATGAAACGCAGGACAGGTGTATGTAAGGTAAGCAAGGCATGGTGTGTCTGTGCATTCAGACAGCCTTCCTGCATCAACAAAGGAGCGCAGAGAAGGATGCAAGGCATGTGATGCATGTGGTGCATGTGATGCATGTGGTGCATGTGGCGCATGTGGTGCATGTGGTGCATGTGGTGCATGTGGTGCATGTAGCACGTGATGCATGTGATGCATGTGATGCATGTGATGCATGTGATGCATGTGATGCATGTGGTACATGTGATGCATGTGATGCGTGTGATGCATGTGGTGCATGTGGTGCATGTGGTGCATGTGGTGCATGTGGTGCATGTGGCACATGTGGTGCATGTGATGCATGTGATGCATGTGATGCATGTGAGCATGTAATGCATGTGGTACATACATGTGATACATGTGGTGCCCCACCCCCCCCCCCCACCTGCAGGCGAGCTGTCACTGCTGGAGGGGCATCCACAGTGAATGCTCTCAGCAGATCCACCAGCGCCTCTGGAAGCTCCCCCTCCTCCTGCCCCTCCTCCCCTGCTGCCCCTGCTGCTTCCCCCCCTGATACCCCTCCTGCTACCCCTCCAGCTACCCCTCCTGCTGCCCCTCCTGCTACCCCTCCTGCTGCCCCTCCTGCAGCACCTCGTTCAACTGCCCCTCCTCCTGCTGCAGCAACTGCTGCGGGGGGCGATGGGGGAGTGCAGAGGGCCAGCAGGCGAGACACTATGGCCTGCAGGGAGAGGGGGAGGCAGAGAGATTGGCAGAGAACAAGGGGAGTTGAGGGGAGGAGGCAAGCTGTCAGAGGAATTACGACCCATGACACACGATGCAGCAGCATTTGTAGCACGGAAATAGGCTCACCTGGCTCAACAGTCTCCTCACCTGGCTTTGGTCCAACAAAGCAGCAGGCACTGTCGTTCCACCACTGCCACGCCCATTGGCACCACCACCACTACCACCACCAGCACCATCAGCACCAGCAGCACCACCAGCACCACCACCACCACCAGCAGCAGCAGCACCAGCAGCACCACCACGTCCACCACTGAGTGCTGCAGCCACCACCCGCGCCAGCACGTCAAGGCATGCCGCCGCCACTGCTGCTGGAGTCGAGGGTGATGGTGAGGGCGGGGAGGGGCTCTGAGAGAGCGAGAGCTGTGAGGAGGCGATGGGTGGGGTGGGTGGAGGCCAGGTGGGCGCGGAGGTGGGTAGGCAGGCGAGTAGAATGTGCACGAGGTACCTGGGGGGAGCAGCAGGGGGCGTTGCACAAGGGGGTGGGGGGACGGAGGGGCTCTCAGAGAGCGAGGGCTGGGAGGAAGAGATGGGTGGGGGCCAGACGGGCACGGACGGAGGTGGGCAGGCAGGCAAGTAGGATGTGCATTAGGTACCTGGCCTGGGGGGAGGGATGTCATAGTGTGGGGGAAGCGGAGGGAAGAAGAATGCAGGAGGTGTGCGGAGATGTAAAACATAGCCTGAAGGTCCATACATAGGGGGTAGGCATGTGGCTGGACGGAAGGAGGGCTAGCTTTGTAAACAATGTTAAAGGATCATGTGACTATATGGCACAGCACAGTAAATCACCTGAGCGACAGTGGCTCACCTGAAAGTGGGCGGCACAGTGACTCTGTCACCCAAGACGTCAACCAGCACTGACAGCGCAGCGATGACGTGGCAGCGATGACGTGGACTGTAGGCCGCTACAGCCGCCTTGTGCAGGGCGAGGAGCAACTGGCAGGAAGACGTGGAGGAGATAATAGAGGAGACACCGGGAAACCAGTAGGTCACTAGGGCAGGATAACATAAGGGAAAAAGGAGAGGTGAGAAAGGGTGAGTGAGAGGCGAGGGAAGGGAGAGGAACGAAAATGAAGGGGAAGAAAGAAGACGGTTAGGGGCATGTGCAGGAGGAACCTCTAATGTGATGAGGATGAGAAGAAACTGCCGACTCACTGGGAAGACATTGGCCGGACGCAGAATGTTGAGGTGGTCTGACAAGGATGGAGGCGTGGAGGGCAGTGCGCTGGTACCGATGTTGCAAGTATGAAATGCATGGCACACAAAAACACACAGAGCACAGAGTGGCACCGCACACCCACAGTGTGCATGGCGCGAGCAAAAAAAAACAGATGATGCAACTTGAGACACTGTGGATGAAACATGTTCGTGCAGTGCAGCTACATCGCTACTGCTTTGCGCTCCTATAAGGATAAGGCGGTCATGTCATAGCTCCCATTCATTTACGCATGGGTGCTATGACATGACATGACCGCCTGCCAGTACCTGCTGGTGGTGGCACGCGAGTCAGCAGTGCTGTCGACCAGGCTGCAGATGGTGGCACGGACGCAGGTGGTGGGGAAGGAGGGCAGCGCCGGGTGATCCTGGGAGGATGTGTGGCTCAGCAGACTGGTGATGATGGGCACCTGCGGAAGGAATGGCATGGCAAGTGGGGTGGGGGCAGATGGGGAGTTGGAGTGACTCTTAGTATAAACGCCTGAAGATGCAATGGGTGCTGCTGGGAGGACGTGTGCTGCAGCAGACTGGTGATGATGGGCACCTGGGTAAGGAATGGCATGGTAAGTGGGGGCAGATGGGTAGAGTCAGGGACTGTCCTTGGGGGCGCTTCAGTAATCGTGTCAATTCTGAGGCACCGCAGAGGTCGACGTGTGGCGGTTGCAAGTGGGGGCAGATAAGGAGTCTGAGTGACTGTTCCAAATAGAGGGGAAAGACAAGGGGGTTTCGGGTATAAAGGGCAACAAATGGGCGAAAGGGGACGTGTGCATCTGCTATATTGCAGCAACACAGTCGACTGCACAGCAGGCACTCGTTTCCAGCAGGTACTTGATGCATGATATCAGTCTCAGGCAAACAATCAAATTCCAGCAGTAGCTTAGCTTCTGCAAGTTTTTCCAGCTCAATGAAACCAGAATTAGAGTTTCGCCCTTTTGCTTTATGACGTATAAAAACAGGACCGACTGTCAAAACTTGAGCTTAAAATCCATGCACTAGTAATGAGCTTGAAGCTCTTTAAGTACGTCCAGGACGAGCAAGGAATGGATGGGGAGGGAATCGGGGCAATCTCTAGAGATTGAGGGTAATCCCAAGGCAATCTCCAATTGGTGGGTTGGAGATTGCTTGGAGATCACATTTGAGTTTGATTGGGATGTGGGTGTACACCCAACCAAACACAAAGTGCAAACTACACTAAACTAGGATATAAAAGTACAAGTACCAAAAACAAGATGTGAGATTGAGGGCTAACACTAACACTGACTGACCATGTGCTTGGTGAGCAGCTGATCCCTCTCCGCCTCACTCCACCCTGCCGCAGCCAGCAGGCCTGTTGTGAGCACACGTGTCGCAGCCTCCTTCTGCCACATGTCAAGCTCTGATTGGCGGTATGGCAGCAGCGCAGCAACCACGTGTGGGAAGGACTCCTTGAGAAGCCGAGGAACGGGCGTCTGGAGAGCCTGGCGGGAGGAAGGAAGGAAGTGGTGAGGCAGGGTGGTGGGTTATATGAGATGAACGATGAACTTTGAATACAAGAAATAAATTACGGGAACAAGTGAACTGACAAAGGATTGAGAAAACCGGTGGAAGTAACAAAGCTCATTGCATTATGCATCGAGGAGAACCCTTCAATTGGTCCTTCTGGATTCCCCCGTCGCTCACACCACTACCCATTTTCCTGCGTGCCCACCGACTGTGGGAGTCGGCCTCTCACTCACCTCTGCCAGGAACTGCACGCCTCTCTCCCTCCCCACCCCAAAAGCAGCAGTGCAGGCAGTTTTTTTTAGGCGCCTCCGAAATCACTAACCTCTGCCAGGAACTGCACGTCCCTCTCCCTCCCCAGCAGCAGCAGCGCAGGCAGCACCAGCGGAGCCAACCTCTTCCACGCCCTTGCAAGTGCTCCTGCATCCCCCCCCACTCCTGCCGTTACCACCACTACAGTGTCTGCTCCTGCTTCATGGTCCCCCTCTCCTCCCTCGTCGCCCTTCTCTTCCAGCATCTGCCTCCCTCCGTCACCCACCGCCCAGCGGCCTGCTCCTCCTCTTGTGTCCCCCCCCGTGCACACCCCGCTGCCAGCAGCAACTGGTTGCTCCAACGCCACCACCACCTGCATGCATGGTCGGTGGTGACCACACGTATGCAAGCACGCACGCACACACACAGTTCTGATGAGTTAATTAACACGTGCGTGTGTGGAAAAGGGGGGGGAGGAGTGAAAGAAACTAGGAACTCTAGGAAGTTGAGTAAGAGAATCATTAACCTCAGCTCATGAGAGCGCAAGGTCATACAAGCAAGGGGTGGTTGGTGAGGACCACCAAACCTAGCAAATAGGACACCAAGACCATGTTGGCTAGTGAGAGGAAAAACCATCCAACCAGCCCTAGTGGGGTGGTGGCCAGCCCACCAAAGTTGGCTGCCCCATCACATGGGGCAATGATGGTTTGACACCCCCACTTGGCCAACAATGTTGGGACCAATTCTAAGCTAGGAGATATGGGTTCACCCCCCAACTAGGGTGTTAACCCACACTACACCCAAAACTAGAGCATGCAGGTAAAAGTATATTCGAACAAGGAGTGGCTTGAATGGGGTTGATTTAGGGGAGTGGCAGGGCTTGAGCTCACCTGTGCGAGGGCAGGCAGAGGCAGAAGCACGGGGGCTGCTGCAACCCACCGCATGGCCACAGACGGCAGGAGAATGTCCAGGTACTGACGGAGAGAGGCAGGGGGGTGAATCAGGGAAGGGCAAGATGGGGGGCGGGGAAGCAGGATGGAGGGAAGATGATGGAGGGTCATAAAAATGGCTGTGAGAACTAGGCAGATACGTGAAGAGTTGCAAGTTCTAACATGGTGGGCAGTGGTTCAAAACGTACAACAAAGACTTGGGCTGGCGTGGCTCCGACTGGGGGTGCTGACCTGGCTCAGAGTGGGGTAGCCCAGCGATGCAGCAGCGGTGGTGAGGACTGCAGCTGCCACGTTGCTGGACAAGAAGGAACAGGTGGGGGGGTGGATTGGGAAGGGAGGTCCAAACGAAGGGACAGAAAGTGAGGCAAAAGCAGCAACGAGTTGAATGAAGTGAGGTGCTCTTGAACAGATCATTCGAGAGCTCGAACAGAACCTTCGAGAGCTCGAACTTGCCAACAAATGGACAGCACGGTTGCCTGGCTTCCCATCGTCCAAGATAATCGCACAATCATAACATATGATAGGAATGAGCGACCGATGTGCAGAGTTGCGACCATGCTTTTCTGCAAAACAAACTACGCAAAGAGCTTACATGCGAACAAGGCGGAGGGCGGCCGCTGCAACGATGAGGAATACGGCCTGATTGAGAGGAGGAGGACGACGGGCCAGGCGCAACCAAAAAGCAGCAGACACATACGAGCTTTGGATTAGGCCGAATGTCCCAGATGAATGCAGGTTCGCCAAGTGACAACCACATCAGGAAGGGAACACACTCTGAGCAGTGTACTTTGTGGTTGGTAGGGAGGGAAGATGTGAAGCTGTAAAGCTGTGGCTGTACAGAGAGAGGCGCGCTGCTACAGCTCACCTCGTCCTCCACCAAATCGCTGCTCTCCGCTATCCTCCCCAGCAGCAGCACACTCGTTTCCACCCTCGCCCTGTCCACCCGTGCAACCTCCCTCCTCACTCTCTCCTCCTCTGCAACTCCACTCCCTCCTGCTCCTCCCTCCTCCTCCCCGACTCCATCTTCTCCTATGTCTCCTCCTCCTTCTCTTCTACCCTCTCCCTCGCCGTCCTTCCCTACACCTCCCATCCCCCCACCACGCATGAGGCCCAGGAGAGCGCTTTTCCCTGCAGGGCCTGGCAGCAGAGGCAAGCCGCGGCGGGCGGCAGGGCTGGAAGAGGGGGTGGAGGTGGGAGTGCTGCTGGTGCTGGTGGTGGTTTTGGAGGGCAGGTGGAGCGTGGAGATGGAGAGGGTGGGTGCAGGCGCGAGAGACAGCGTCTTCAAGTCCGTCCTGAAACATGATGGGAGAGAGGAAGTGGTTACAGAGAACGAGAAAATAAAGCAGCATGTAGAGTGAAGCGTGGAGATAGAGGGTGGGTGCGGGCGCGAGAGCCACCATCTTCCAGTTTTTTTAGCAAATCCTTTGAGTTGGAGAAGGAGAAAATCTGGTGAGTTATATGCTTCATGATAGCTTGCTTGCTCGCAAGCGGGATGCCCCTGTCATTGATATGAGAGGAATTCCTGTCACCAGACCTCGAGGTTCGGCGGGTCCTCACTCCCGAGCCAAGCAGGCTCGGCTTGGAAACGGGGCGGGCTTGTCCTGGCTTGACCTAAAGCAGCTTGGCTCAGCAGTGCTCTTGCCAGGGGTGGCATCCATGATCCATCCACTTAATGGCAACCTTTGCGTCGCACTCATGGTATGGCTGGCTGTGTCAGACTGTCAGTTGCGCACTCACTTGTGCACAACACGAGGTAGGAAACGGAAGGTGATGACGACTGGGCGGCAGGTGACAAAACAGCGTGTGGAGCGTACGAGGAGTGCCAAAGTGCCGAATTCCACACAGGGACGGACCGACTCACAGAGTGTCAGCGAGCATGGTGGGGTGGTCCTCCCATTTGAGAAAAAGCGCAGGCAGCAGCTGGGCCATGAGCAGACGCACCCCGTAGTCCCGGTCATACAGCAGTGCAAAGAGCGGCTTAAAGAGGTCCTGTGCGGTGCAGATGTGTGCATGGATGGGGGAAATGGGAAGAGATGAAAAATGGAGAGCAGATCTAGAAAAAAAGTAAAAAAAAAAAATCAAATGAAAAGAATGATTAGGTGAACGAAGCAAACAAAAAAAAAAAAAAAAAAAAAAAAAAAAAAAAAAAAAAAAATCCACGGGAATATGACATAAGAGGTGCTTTTCAGACTGCAGCAAAAGGAAGCACAACAGCCAGAGGGGCAACGCGAACAGCAGAGAGGATTCATGAGGACATGGGAGGGAGGAGCTTTCAGGCACAGGGAGTGCAAGGGGAGTGAAGTACACACCAACAAGAGCGGCTGAGAAGGACTTTGAGTCGTCTCAAAAGTCACGTCTTTTCAGACACATGGAATGGAAAGGAAGAGGAGTGGAGAAGACACGTACAGAGGGGTTGAGAAAGACGAGTGCGAGGAGGGCATCTGCGAGGTGAATGCGCACAGCTGGGGTGGGCAGCTTGCTGGTTAACAGGGGAAGCAGTGCCGCTTGCACCACCTGCTGCGCCTGTGGATGGGGAATAGCGGAGCGGAGAGGGAAGCACACAGAACACAGGTTTTAGCATCGCCACTCCAGCTCAGCTTCACGACAGCACCTCAAGCCGACACATGTTATAAAAAAGGAGATGCCATGCCTGCTACTTCAGAACTATTTCTGGCCTCTCAATAATGTAGCAACTTTTTTATAACCCGGGAACTCTCTCTTACCTCAACCATGCAGCATTTCACCTCCTCCACCTCTCACCTCCACCTCTCACCTCCACCTCTCACCTGATCCACATCTGAGTTATTGGCAGTTGCGGTGTCCCTCACCTCTACCCACGCCACCTCGCTCCCCACGCCATCCAACCCCTCCTCCACTCACCATGCGCCCCCCATGCCCTCATCCCACTCACCTGATTCACATCTGTGTCGCTGGCGGTTGTACTGTCAGCTCCACCTCCCCTCGCCTCGGCCCACACCACCACGCTCCCCACGCCCTCCATCCCCTCCTCCACTCCCCCCAAACCTTCCACGCGCTGATCTCGGAGCAGTGGGGGCGGAAGGGTGCCATCCCTGTGCGCAGCAAGGCGGCGGGCAGTTATGGCTGTGAGGTGAAGGAGGTGCTGCTGGTGGGCGTGCACTGCGGTGGATGCATGGGACTCCACAGCTGCTAGCTGCGAGGGAGAAGAGGGAAGAGGGGTTTCAAATGGGAGAACGAAGGGGTTGATTTGGTGGCGGGCGGCAGTGGCTGTGAGACACAGGAGGTGCTGGTGGTGGGAGTGCAGTGCAGAGCAGTGCGGTGGATGCATGGGACTCCACAGCTGCTACCTGCGAGGGAGAAGACACAGGGGTGAAATGGGGAAATGAAGGGGGTCGCTGGGTGGCGGGGAGTTATGGTTCTAAGGCACAGCAGGTGATGGCGGTAGGAGTGCAGTGCGGTGGATGCATGGGACTCCAGAGCTGCTAGCTGGGAGCGGGAACAGGGAACAACGGGGATGAAATGGGGAAATGAAGAGGGCGGGGTGGCATGCAGGCAATAGCAATGCGATGCTCCTCACGTGCTGGCGTTGCCACGCAGGCACTCAGCCTTTCATTCCACATCACAGAACAGAATGAATATGAATGTATCTCCAGCGCGTGGCTGTGGGGTGGGGTGGGGTCAGCCAGGGGTGCAGGAAAGCTGATGGGAGACAGAGACGCAAGGAATGCAAATCGGCCGGACATGGACACGACGCATTCTACAGACAAATGGGACACGGCAATGCATTGTGCTTGTGACGTGACATCACAAGCAGAAACAGTAGCAGAAACAAGCTTGTGACGTGAGCGTAACTAATAACCAGTTACTTTAAGTTGACTACAAAGGTGATGGGAATGAGTGCGACCTTACCAGAGGCTCAAGTGCCATCAATAGTTCGGCGTGCGATGCAAGCACAGAAAGCAGCTGCCAGTAGCACTAGGGGGCGGGGAGAGGGGGGAGTGATGGTGGTACAAGGGAGGGCGGGATGGCGGGAGAGAAACAGCAGAGGACAGAAGACTGGGGAGGGGCGCTGTGGAAAAAAGAGTGGAGAAGCATTTATTAACAAATGGGAGCTTGGGAAATGGTGAGGCAGAGAGCAAAGTGAAGTTCGAGGTGGAGGAAGAGCGAGGGAAGGGTGGGTGGGGTGGTGTTTGCAAGGGGTGAAGCAGGTGACACCACATCCAGTATCCGCGTCGCTGCTTCTCCTCATCCCTCCATTGTGCCCACTCTCCATTGCCCACTGTCCACTGCTCACCACCATGTGGCCAGCACTGCCTAGCACACACCTCAGAGTCTTCATTGAGCCGCAGCAGCGACGTCACCTCCCTGCATAACACTACTGGGAAGGAGGAACTCGGTCACCCACCCCACCACACACACCGCTCCCTCTGCCACCTCCCCTCACCTGCCCATTGCCCACTGCCCAGCACGCACCTCGGAGTCTTCATTGAGCCGCAGCAGCGACACCACCTCGCTGCACGCTGCTGCTGGAACGAACTCGGCCACACACCCAAGCACCCACACCGCCCCCTCCGCCACCTCCCCCGGCGTTGCACTGCCACCACCACTCAAACCCGTCAGCACCGCACCAGCAGCAGCAGCAGCACCACCACCACCACCACCAGCAGCAGCACCAGCAGCACCAGCAGCAGCGCCACTGCCACCTGCACCGTCCCGCCAGGCGCTCTGTGTGAGCCTGCTGCGCTGTAGGGGAGCCTGGGACGGCAGCACTCCAGGCGCATCCAAGTCAGTGTCAAATATCCGAGTCTCCTCCCCATCCCCTTCCTCATCTAACTCTATCACCTGCTGCTGCTGCAGCTGGGACTGGAAGCTGGGCAAAATTGCCCCATGTTGGGATCTGGAACCCATCATCCCTCCCAGTCTCCCTCTCGCCCCGCCCCTCCCGCCTCTCCCGCTTGCACCGTGCAGCCCACTCGTAGCAGCAGACGGCTGCTGGAACTCCCAGTCGTCGTCAAAATCGTCATCCAAGCGACTCCGCGCAGCAAAGGTAACAGCAGAGGCTGGAGGCAGTGAGAGCGCCGACACAGCCGCTTCGCCACCCAATCCTTGTGCTGTGGCTGCTGCGGCTGCTGTAGCGGCTGCTTCAGCCACGGTGGTATAGCAGGTGGTGGCGAGGCGGAGCATGGCGGAAAGGAGAGGGAGGGAGGCGGGCGAGCGGGGGAGGACGGAGAGGAGGTCGCGGATGAGTGTGAGGGAGCAAGAGTCCAGAGAGGCGGTGGGAGTGATGGATGGTGAAGGCGTGAGAGCTGTTGCAGCTAACTGAAGACTCTGCTTCTCGAGAAGACCCCCTGGAAGGAGGTCATGAGGAAGGTTTCTGCAGGAGAGGGAGGGCGGGAGAGAAATAATACACATTCATAGCATTGCCGGCTGTAATTCAGATATCATCCTCCTCCTTTGTCACACAGACCATTCAAGCAGTCCAATTGCACACACGAAAGAGAAGAAACATAGAGTCGTGTTGTTCGGTGATTGGACGTGTGTGGGCGAGTGAAGTGACCTGGTGAAGGAGCAGCAAGAGAGCAGACGACAGCAGTGCAGCCCCAGCACTGCCACCCACAAAGTACTCTCTCTCGTGCCGCCACCACCACCAACACCACCAGCGTCACCACCACCGCCACCGTCACCACCAACGCCACCACTCCCATCCCCACCACGTCCACTGCCCTCCCCAGAGCTGCCAGCTGATCCCCTACCCTCCAGCCACTCCCTTTCCCCTCCTCCTGACCCTCCTCCCACATCTGCCCCACCACCACCACCATCTCTTGCTGCACTGGTTGGCGGGCAGGTGAGCGCGGCAAGTGTGGAGAGGGCTGCTTGGGAGAGCGGTAGGACGCGACAAGAGTCAAGCAGCGAGCGGGAGAGCGTGAAAGCGGTTGAAGGCGGGGGAAAGGGGGAGGAGGCGAGGGAAGGAGGAGTGTGCTTGTCTCTGTGCTGCTGTACGAGTGAGGGAGGAAGAACGGGAGGGAAGGGAGGAGAGGAAGAGAGAGGCGAGGATGAAGCTGCTGCAAGAGAGAAGGTAGGGGAGCGACAAGAGGAGGGAGTGATGGTTGTTTCAAAAGGTCAGGAGGCAACAAGAGCTGCGGTGGTGAAGAGCCGAGCTTTATGAAGTGCCCGCACTCCTTTCCTGCTTGTCCAGCAAGCAAGTACTACACTTTGCCGCCTTCCCCTGGCGATACCTGAGAGGCCGCAAGCCATGGAGGCAACGAAGACAGAGGGGCGGCAGCAGCAGAGTATGGCACGCTACGTGGCGCGCATGCGGCAGCTCCTGCTGTCCCTGCTGCCCCTGCAGCTGCTGCAACGAGGCAGTGAGGGCTGCGGTCTAAGTGAGGGAGGACTGGCTCCATGTCCCTCACGTCTTCATGCAGCTGACGGTGGGGATGGAGAGGTCAAACACACAGACGGTTTCTGATTGGACTCAAAAAGCGAGGGAGGGCTGGCTCCCTGTCGTTCACATCTTCATGCAGCTGATGGGGGGAGACAAAACACACACACTGGTGCATGCAGAGAGATGCACCACGTGTGGGCAGGGAAACAGAAAGAAATTCAGAAACTTGAAACATGGACCCAAACACTCACTTGTGTGCTACAAAATGTCACTCTCTCTCCCTTCCCTTCCCTGACACCACACCACTGCTCGCAGGCACTGACAAGGACCATCCTGCTGACACAAACAGAGCTTACAAGGAACCACCAGCCTTTGAGACGTCTCAAGAGCTTACAGGGAACCACCAGTCGCGGTGGAAGGAGGTGGGTACAGGGCACGGGGAAGGACAGGACGGGGCAGCAGCGGCACCAAGTGCAGCAGTGGATGCACAGGAGCACGGTGCTTCGCCTGTCACTGCTGCGCACAGCGCAGCTGCAAGTAAAGATGGGTCCGGTGGGTGGTGAGTGCGGTGCAGAGCGGTGCGCAGGGTGATGGGGTGAGAGGGCTCGGAATCTCTCGAGGAGAGGGATGGGCCGTGAACCTGGTGAAGGGGTTGCATGCAATGAACACAGGGCAGCACAGTGGGAGGTCGTCTGTTCTTTGAAAAAAACTCAAGAAAGACAATGCGGGGGGACAGGATGCACGATGTCAATCTGGAAGTGCATGTGGATGCAGTGTCGTCTAATGAGGCGCCTAAAAAAACTCGTCCGTGAACCTGGTGAAGGGGTTGCATGCAATGAACACAGGGCAGCACAGTGGGAGGTCGTCTGTTCTTTGAAAAAAACTCAAGAAAGACAATGCGGGGGGACAGGATGCACGATGTCAATCTGGAAGTGCATGTGGATGCAGTGTCGTCTAATGAGGCGCCTAAAAAAACTCGTCAAATTGGATGTGCATGTGTGGATATGGATGCAGTAAGGCATGGAGAGAGAGGAATGTGGAGCACATAGGCACTGATGTGATTTCATCACACCACTACCTCACCTCCTCACCCCACCTCACCTCACCTCACCGCACCTCAATTCACCGCACAGCAGCTGCCCACCTCGTTGGCCATTCCCGCAAGCAGCCACTGCAGCAACGCCACGCGGGCTGAGCTGAGGGGTGACGTGGCGGCTGAATTCAGCGCCAGCAGTGCTGCCTCTTGGCGCTGGGATGAAGAAGAGAGGGAAGGTAGAGTGGAGGGTGGGTTGGATAAACTGTCAGAGATTCTTCTTCCTCTGCCCATGCCCTGCATAAATACTTGGCTGCTTGGGTAAAGGTTGGTTTGGGAGATGACTGGACCCGCCACTCATTTTCCAACCTAGCTGAATGGTGTGTGGAGCAATAATGCAGGCCACGGTCCCAAACCACCCTCCTTTTGTCCTTCTTCTGCTAAAACAATCATCAATTCAAATTCTACACGAACAGAACTTTTTCATTGCGGGCCGAGCAAAGAAAAGATGGGAGGCGGAGAAGAGCTACAAGAGACGGCAAACGGGAAGCTAAAAAAAGTAGTGGCGATGCAAGAAGCAAATCAAAGTACCTGAAAGGTTGTGTTAGATAGAAGCGCAGCTGCAAACTGCACAGTAGCACTGGTGACGGGAGGAACAAGGGAGAAAGCAGAAGCAAGAGAGAGACCCATACCACTGGGATGCGCATGCGTGGTAGTGCAAGGAGGGGGCGTACATGAGAGAGCGTGCAAGGAGGGGGCGTACATGAGAGAGCGTGAAAAGGCACTGTAGAGTGCCGCAAAAAACGAAGATCCGAACCGAAAGGGCAGAGGTGCGCTCAGACCTTGGTGGCTCAACAGAAGCCCAACTAGGCCATGGGCCACGGCAGGCAGAGATCGTGGTGGGTCGTTTTTGGTTAGATGAACAACTATTGTCTTCTGGCAAGGCGAAACAATTGAGCGTGAACATTTTCGGTAGGTTGGCAACGCCACCATCTATGCTCACCTCGTGAGTGCTGCTCACCTCGTGAGTGCTGCTCACCTCGCGAGTGCTGCTCACCTCGCGAGTGCTGCTCACCTCGCGAGTGCTGCTCACCTCGCGAGTGCTGCTCACCTCGCGAGTGCTGCTCACCTCGCGAGTGCTGCTCACCTCGCGAGTGCTGCTCACCTCGCGAGTGCTGCTCACCTCGCGAGTGCTGCTCACCTCGTGAGTGCTGCTCACCTCGTGAGTGCTGCTCACCTCGCGAGTGCTGCTCACCTCGCGAGTGCTGCTCACCTCGCGAGTGCTGCTCACCTCGCGAGTGCTGCTCACCTCGCGAGTGCTGCTCACCTCGCGAGTGCTGCTCACCTCGCGAGTGCTGCTCACCTCGCGAGTGCTGCTCACCTCGCGAGTGCTGCTCACCTCGCGAGTGCTGCTCACCTCGCGAGTGCTGCTCACCTCGTGAGTGCTGCTCACCTCGTGAGTGCTGCTCACCTCGTGAGTGCTGCTCACCTCGTGAGTGCTGCTCACCTCGTGAGTGCTGCTCACCTCGTGAGTGCTGCTCACCTCGTGAGTGCTGCTCACCTCGTGAGTGCTGCTCACCTCGTGAGTGCTGCTCACCTCGTGAGTGCTGCTCACCTCGTGAGTGCTGCTCACCTCGTGAGTGCTGCTCACCTCGCGAGTGCTGCTCACCTCGCGAGTGCTGCTCACCTCGCGAGTGCTGCTCACCTCGCGAGTGCTGCTCACCTCGCGAGTGCTGCTCACCTCGAGAGTGCTGCTCACCTCGCGAGTGCTGCTCACCTCGCGAGTGCTGCTCACCTCGCGAGTGCTGCTCACCTCGCGAGTGCTGCTCACCTCGCGAGTGCTGCTCACCTCGCGAGTGCTGCTCACCTCGCGAGTGCTGCTCACCTCGCGAGTGCTGCTCACCTCGCGAGTGCTGCTCACCTCGTGAGTGCTGCTCACCTCGTGAGTGCTGCTCACCTCGTGAGTGCTGCTCACCTCGTGAGTGCTGCTCACCTCGTGAGTGCTGCTCACCTCGTGAGTGCTGCTCACCTCGTGAGTGCTGCTCACCTCGTGAGTGCTGCTCACCTCGTGAGTGCTGCTCACCTCGTGAGTGCTGCTCACCTCGTGAGTGCTGCTCACCTCGTGAGTGCTGCTCACCTCGTGAGTGCTGCTCACCTCGTGAGTGCTGCTCACCTCGTGAGTGCTGCTCACCTCGTGAGTGCTGCTCACCTCGTGAGTGCTGCTCACCTCGTGAGTGCTGCTCACCTCGTGAGTGCTGCTCACCTCGTGAGTGCTGCTCACCTCGTGAGTGCTGCTCACCTCGTGAGTGCTGCTCACCTCGTGAGTGCTGCTCACCTCGTGAGTGCTGCTCACCTCGTGAGTGCTGCTCACCTCGTGAGTGCTGCTCACCTCGTGAGTGCTGCTCACCTCGTGAGTGCTGCTCACCTCGTGAGTGCTGCTCACCTCGTGAGTGCTGCTCACCTCGTGAGTGCTGCTCACCTCGTGAGTGCTGCTCACCTCGTGAGTGCTGCTCACCTCGTGAGTGCTGCTCACCTCGTGAGTGCTGCTCACCTCGTGAGTGCTGCTCACCTCGTGAGTGCTGCTCACCTCGTGAGTGCTGCTCACCTCGTGAGTGCTGCTCACCTCGTGAGTGCTGCTCACCTCGTGAGTGCCGCTCCCTCCTTGAACTGCGGCAGTGCCAGCAGCTCCCTGGGAGGAGTCACGTCCTGCAGAACCCCCTGTATAGAGGCACCACGCGTGGGGGATAAGGGGGTGATGGCAGGGATACACAAAACGGAAAGGAACATGTCAGTGAGGAGGAGCCCTCCTGCGAGCCGGGGCATGTGAAGACAACATCAATAAACACAAGTGTGGACAAAAAGATTGCGTTAAAGTAGTTCAGAAGTGGCTGTCTCTGAACTCGCTGTGTGCGAGTTGCCTTTGTCTAGTCAAGCAGCAGACAGAAAGAATCATGCAGTGCAGTGCAGTCGTCGCTAGCGTGTATGTATGCATGCCAATGCATTGTTTGGATGGCACATTGCACATGGCACATGGCCCACGGCACATGGCACATGGCACATGGCACATGGCACATGGCACATGGCACATGGCACATGCATCATGCATGCACTCACTGCTTGCAGCAAGGTGGAAAGGAGTGAGAGGCACGGCTCCACCTGGCGAGATGGCACGTGGGGGAAGAAATGGAATGGCAAGTGGAAAGTTCATTCAACTCTGATAGGCGTGCGTGACAGGCATGGGCTCTACGGGCATTGGCTTTAAGCCATATTTGCGCAAAAATATGGTGTTACAACCTAAACAAAACGTCAACTTGAACTCTGATAGTTCAGGCAAAAGCAGAAGCAGGCGGGTTGACAAGGGGCGAAGGGGAGGGGGAGACATGGAGACAAATGGACCACAAAAAGCAGGAAAAGCATGACGATAGCAGGTGCAGGAGGCAGGTTGCAGTCCGTCCGGACAGCCATTACCAGGGAGTGAGGTAGAGCAGGGAGAGCAGCAGTGACCTCGCCCCACACGCTCTGCCACACAGCAGCAAGCGGTTGCTGCTGCGGGTGCTGGAATGATGGTCCAGCTCTGGCACTGCTGCTGCTGCTGCCAGGCACTTGGTTTGACTGATGCAGAGGGTGGGCGGCGGTAAGCAACGTGCACAGCTGCTCCAGGCACCTGATCGCAAGGGAAGGGATGTGATGGGTGGAGGGTGCGTGAGTGAGACGAGCCGTGCACACAATGATGGCGGATGCTGGCTGGCAGATGGCTAGCAGCCGGTAGGATGGCAAAGGCTCTGAGCCTCAGTGCACCATCTAGGGTAGAGCTGTGGAAGAAATGGGTTTGTTCCACAACCTCCGTGACTGTGCTCCATTGAGACGGGACAGGAACAAGACAAGATAGCCGTCGGTCGGATGACAGAGTGAAAAGAACGCTTCGCACTGGAAGTACCATCTGACAATCAGACAGACGTGATAGTCACATAAGAAGATAATTAGCAGGCAGCAGCACAGCACTGAGCCTGACCTGAGCAGCACAGATCCCCACCTGAGAAGCACAGAGCCCCACCTGAGCAGCACAGAGCCCCACCTGAGAAGCACAGAGCCCCACCTGAGCAGCACAGAGCCCCACCAGAGCAGCACAGAGTCCCACCTGAGCAGCAAAGAGCCTCACCTGAGCAGCACAGAGCCCCACCTGAGCAGCACAGAGCCTCACCTGAGCAGCACAGAGCCTCACCTGAGCGCCCAGATGGGTGTTGGCAGCGAGCCCTTGTGCCGCGCATCCTGCATCCACCTGCACCCAGGGAGGGGAAACAGGCGTGCACATGGGATGGGAGGCAGGGGTGTGGTACAGCTGGTGGTGGGGCCATGGCGGAACAGGGCGATGGATGGTGCAGGCAGGCAGGCAGTACACAACAGTATGCGAGCCAGCCAGCTAAGAGGTGCGTGCGACACACAAAAGCTGGTGGTTTGTCGTGCGTTGGCAGCAGGTCACCTAGCGAGGTGCACGTGCAAGATTATGAGGCAGGAGGCAGTAGTGCATTGCATTCATTATTCGAATCTAGAGTCACTGTGGCGGCGGATGGGGAAAAGGAGGCAGGTCACCTGGCGAGGTGTGCGTGCAGGAGGGCGAGCCAGCGGTGCAGGGCGTGTGGCGGGATGGAGTGGCCATAGTCGCACAGCAGCACACACACGGCTGTTAGCCTGTACATGGTGAGAGAAGGGGAGATGGAGGGAGGAGTTCAAGAGTGTAGAGAGGCCGGCGGAAGGGTATTTGAGAAGCAGCAAGCGTGATAGTAGGAGAAAAAGGAGTGGGGTCGGGGTATAGTGTGCAATGTTTGAAGGTAAAAGGTTGAGTGGGAGACAAGGCACTAGCGCAGCTCGCAGCTGCGAGTTTGATCTGATGCGATGCTCGTCAGGCAGCAGTGCAACAAACATCTGTCTCACCAGGAGGTGTGGCTCACCACCAGGGGGTGTGGCTCACCACCAGGGGGTGTGGCTCACCACCAGGGGGTGTGGCTCACCACCAGGGGGTGCGGCTCACCACCAGGGGGTGCGGCTCACCACCAGGGGGTGCGGCTCACCACCAGGGGGTGCGGCTCACCACCAGGGGGTGTGGCTCACCACCAGGGGGTGTGGCTCACCACCAGGGGGTGTGGCTCACCACCAGAAGGTGTGGCTCACCACCAGGGGGTGTGGCTCACCACCAGGGGGTGTGGCTCACCACCAGGGGGTGTGGCTCACCACCAGGGGGTGCGGCTCACCACCAGGGGGTGCGGCTCACCACCAGGGGGTGCGGCTCACCACCAGGGGGTGTGGCTCACCACCAGGGGGTGTGGCTCACCACCAGGGGGTGTGGCTCACCACCAGGGGGTGTGGCTCACCACCAGGGGGTGTGGCTCACCACCAGGGGGTGTGGCTCACCACCAGGGGGTGTGGCTCACCACCAGGGGGTGTGGCTCACCACCAGGGGGTGTGGCTCACCACCAGGGGGTGCGGCTCACCACCAGGGGGTGCGGCTCACCACCAGGGGGTGCGGCTCACCACCAGGGGGTGCGGCTCACCACCAGGGGGTGTGGCTCACCACCAGGGGGTGTGGCTCACCACCAGGGGGTGTGGCTCACCACCAGGGGGTGTGGCTCACCACCAGGGGGTGTGGCTCACCACCAGGGGGTGCGGCTTACCACCAGGGGGTGCGGCTCACCACCAGGAGGTGTGGCTCACCACTAGGGGGTGTGGCTCACCACCAGGGGGTGTGGCTCACCACCAGGGGGTGTGGCTCACCACCAGGGGGTGTGGCTCACCACCAGGGGGTGTGGCTCACCACCAGGGGGTGCGGCTCACCACCAGGGGGTGCGGCTCACCACCAGGGGGTGCGGCTCACCACCAGGGGGTGCGGCTCACCACCAGGGGGTGCGGCTCACCACCAGGGGGTGCGGCTCACCACCAGGGGGTGCGGCTCACCACCAGGGAGTGCGGCTCACCAGGGGGCAGTGCCATGTGCAATGTGTTCCTCCAACACAGCCCACACCGAGGAGCCACCCGCACCACCGCCACCACCACCACCACCACCACCACTGCCGCCGCCCTCCATTGCACTTGCACCACTGCCCTCACATGCTCTTGCCAACACCCCCCCTCCCACGCTGCTGCCTTGTGCCGTGCCCACTGTTCCAGCGTCAGCGCCTCTCCGTGGCCTCTTTGCCGGGCGGCCATCTTCGTCCTCTTCCGCAGCATGTGGTGGTGCTGCTGCTGGTGGCGGTGACTGTGGTGATGGTGGTGGTAGGTGGTGCATTTGCTGCAGGGGTAAAGAGACGGGAAACACGGTAGCAAAATGGCAGGGTGATGGAAGTGTTACTCAATGAGACGAGAAAAAGAGAGCAAGAGAGGAGTATGAGGGAGTGAGGAAGGGAGGAGGGGAAAGGTGAGAAGCGGTGATTGGTGAATGTATGAAACATATGGAGGTGGGCGAAGGTGGAGGGGAGGGAAGGAGAGAGAGAGGATGCCGTGAGGAGAGGGGGTGCTGGAAAGGAAAGAAAGGAGGTGAGGTGATGGCACCTGGGATAGGTGCGAGGCGGCGAGGTCCATGATGGGCCAATGGGATTGCGCCACGGAGGATGATGCGTGCAGTGATGACTTGGACGCTGCTGTCACTGCCCGCACGTCCAGACTGCATGCATGCGCAGGAGGGAGAGAGGGAGGGTCGCAGAGCACTGCTGAGGCGGCCGGAATTGGACGCTGCTGTCACAGCACACGCGTCCAGACTGCATGCAGAGGAGGGGGCAAGGGGTTTGAGGGAAATAAAAAAAGGGGACTGGGGAGAGAGGTGAGGGGGCGAGGGGAAGGAGGGTGGGGGGAGGGAGAGAGAGGGACACAGAGCAGTGCTGTGGCAGCCGAACCTGAGCGCTTCTGCCCCTGCCGGCACGTGCGAAAAGAATGCAGCAAGGGAGGCGGGGATTTTGAGGTGGGAGCAGATGTGGGGGTGAGAAGGTAGTGGGAGGGATGCGGAGCATTGCTGAGACGACCAGACCTAGCGCTGCTGCCACTGCCCGCACGTCCAAACTGCAGTGTGGGGGTTAGAAGGGGAGAGGAAAAGGGGAGAGGGATGGCACTGTGGCGGAAGTGGGGGATGGGCGAGCAGCAGATGGGAGGCAGTGAGGCGCATAGGAAAGGAAGCAGTGCATTGCTGGGAAAGACCGGCCCAGCATTGATGTATGCCCAACATACTATACAGTGCAGAATGGAATGGACCAAGCAAACTGCACGGCATAGTTCAAAGACACAACCATCATGCCACCCGACCACCCACCCACCATCCCAGCTAGCCACCCACCCACCCACCCAGTTAGCCAGCCAGCCAGCCAGCCAGCCAGCCAGCCACTAACTCACTCCCTCAGCCCAACCAACCGGCTCACGCTCACCCACCCTGGCAGCAGGCTGGCAGAGGCAGCGGCACCAGCAGTGCCCCCAGCAGAGGAGGAGCGAGAGAGTTCCTTCACCACCAGCAACAGCACCTCCCTCTGCACCTCGCTCTGCCCCTCGCTGCTGCTACCCTGGCCCCCTCCTGTCGACCTCCGTGCTGCTGCCCACAGTGACTCCTCCTCTCCATCCTCCCCCTCAAACACCTCCCCGTCACTGTCATGCAGCTGCCCTCCCACTGTGAGGCGCACGAGCATGCGCGCAGAGAGAACAAGGCCCTCCTGAGGGGCGAGGGGGGACGGGAAATGCGAAAGGGGCGAGAGGTGAGGGGCGACGCGCAAGCGGTGAGGGGCGAGAGGCGGCAGAGTGTGAGAAACCATCACATGTCAAGTGTTGCAGCAGCAGTGAACCCAGTGACCCACCATCACGTACTGCTCATCCCATGTACGTCCACGCGTGACCACAAAGCCCCTGAGTAAGTCCAGCGGCCACGCGCAGGGAGGACGGTCCCCCTGAACGAGGTGGCCACCACTATTAGTCGAGCGCCCACATACACTACTACTATCTGAACCCACCATCACATTTCCATCGCGAGTGCAGTGCCACGTGCGCACCACGAAGCCCCTTAGTGCGCCCAGCAGCCCCGTCAGCTCGCCCGAAGCGGCGAGGCCCACCCCACAGACTGCGAGGAACGTCGCCCCACACGCCAGTAGCTTGCGTGCCAGCCGGCCGTCGTCACTGCGGTGTCATTCGTGGCAAGGAAGCCAGGAACGAGGGGGCCGGGGCGGGGGGCAGGTGGAGAGTCCGAGAGGAGAATGAATGCATGCATGCCGCAAAGCACACCGCAAAGCACACCACAAGGCACACCACAAGGCACACCACAAGGCACACCACAAGGCACACCACAAGGCACAAAGCCTCTGAGTGCGCCCAGCAGCCTCGCCAGTTCCCCCGCTGCAGCAAGGCCCGCCCCGCACGCTGCGAGGAAGGCTGCCACACACGCCAGCAGCTTTGCGTGCCAGCCGACCGTCGTCACTGGGACCGGGGGAAATGGCAAGGAGCAGGGGTGCCGTTTCCCTTCAACATTGTGTGAGAGTGAGTTTGCAAATAACATCCACACATGGCACTGCTGCTAGCGCGTGCAAACCATTTCTCCCCTGTGGCGGGTACTTGCACACCGTTGCGCGCACCTTGCATGCGCGCACAGCAGCATGGATGGTGGGCACTAGGATAGGTGCATAGAAGTAGAGAGAATGGGGGCACGAGCACAAGCACCTGAGGTGAGTGAAGGGCAGCACCTGAGGTGAGTGAAGGGCAGCACCTGAGGTGAGTGAAGGGCAGCACCTGAGGTGAGTGAAGGGCAGCACCTGAGGTGAGTGAAGGGCAGCACCTGAGGTGAGTGAAGGGCAGCACCTGAGGTGAGTGAAGGGCAGCACCTGAGGTGAGTGAAGGGCAGCACCTGAGGTGAGTGAAGGGCAGCACCTGAGGTGAGTGAAGGGCAGCACCTGAGGTGAGTGAAGGGCAGCACCTGAGGTGAGTCAAGGGCAGCACCTGAGGTGAGTGAAGATGCGGGTGAAGCTGGCCGCCATGTCGCACTGCTGCTGCACCTTCAGGGAGGCTCCACCCGCTGCACAGCGAGTCAGCGCCAGCACGGCGGAAGCGGCCTCCAGACTGGACACTGTAGCGGATGCTGATGCAGGAGGGAGGAGCGCCCCTGGTGTTGTGGTGGTTGTAGGTACACCAGCTGCCAGCTCCAGGCGGCTCATAAAGAATGTGATGAGCTCTGCAGCACACACACAGAGCACACACACAGAGCACACACACAGAGCATACGGGACACAAGGGGCGGGGCACAAGGGGCGGGGCACAAGGGGCGGGGCACAAGGGGCGGGGCACAAGGGGCGAGGCACAAAGGTGAGTGGGGAAGAGTCTGTGATATGTTTTGCAAGGTTGCCCTCTCAGACTAGACAGTAGCGCACGCTCAAAAGAAAAGGTTTAGAGTTTGCCTTGCAGCGCAGCACCCATCTCACCTCTCAGCACCTCATCCCAAAGCGCAGAATTCATCTCACATCACTGCCTCTCAACTCATCCCACCGCGCAGCACCGCACTCATCTCACCTCGCATCGTTTTGGTGTTGGCAATGCAGAGCGCATAGTCTGGTACAGCTAGCAGCGCGAGCAGCGCATGGCAGTAGTCGGTGAGAAAGGAGGGCGCCACAGGCAGGGCAGCATTGCTGCTATGGGCTGACACACCGTGCGCACCCCGTCTCACCTCGCAGTGTTTTGGTGTTGGCGATGCTGAGAGCATAGTCTGGCACGGTGAGCAGCGCAAGCAGAGTGTGGCAGTAGTCGGTGAGAAAGGTGGGCGCCTGGGGCAGCGTGGCTGATATGTGCTGACACAACGTGCGCACCCTGTTGGCTAGGCGCAAGGGATGTGCACCCAGTGGGGGTGGGGGGACTGGGAAGGCAGGGAAAGGGAAGGGACGAGAGGGGGGATGTGGAGGCAGTGAGTCGGGTAGCGCGGACGCTACGTGCTGACACTCCGTGCCCACCCTGTTGGCTAGGCAGGCAGGGGAGGGGAGGGGAAGAGCGGGGGGATGGAGGCAGTGAAACGGGCAGCTGTGCGCACGTCACTCACTGCATCCCTGACAGAAGCATTCTGATTCCCAAACCCCTCCACACCCAATCCCCTCCACCACACACCCCCTCCCCCTGCCCACCCCTCGTCGCACCTCTCTCATCTGCGGCCTCTACCAGCCTCCTCAACTCCCTCGCTGCTTCCTGCCTGTGTGTGCGGCGCGTGCGCGTGGCGTTTGTGGCGACCACGTCCCTGTTGATGGCCGTGCATAGCGCTGCCACCACCGTGCACCACAGCTCCTCTGTTGCATGTGTGTGTGGGGGGGAAACAGGGAAAGAGGTTGAGGACAGACAGGGAAGGGCGAGAGGGAGAGAGGGGAAGAGGGCAAGAGGGCAAAGGGTGGTGAGAAGGGCATTTGTGGCGAGCTCGTCCCTGTTGATGGCCGTGCCGTGCACAGCGCTGCCACCACGGCGCACCACAGCTCCTCTGGTGTGTGTGTGGGTGGACAACAGGGAAACAGGCTATGTTGCACTATACGCTCAGGGTGTTTTACGTTTCACGTTTATGCGTTCACGTATAAACGCAAATACGTGAAACGGGGACAAATACGCGATACGGAAAGCCGGGCAGGGGAAAAAAATTGGAGCAAAAAAAAATATTCGCGCACTTTGCGTACGCACGTATACCGACATTTCGAATCGCGTTTTTTTCAACCAAGGGACGTGCAACCCCGAGTCGCCACGTTCACCCCACGTACATCAACATTGCCCACTCACCCCCAACAAGTTGTGACCAACCACAGCACGTCCCCCTCCCCACAACCAATACGTGGTAAGTATATTTCACCCCACCTCAACACAACTCTCATCCACTTCTTTCTTTTCTGTCTAGCCTCCCTCTCGTTTGTTCTCTGTTTATGGCTACTCCAGACCCATCTCCCAGCGCTCAGACTACTGATCCGTCAGCCTCGACCTCTGAGGCACAATGGCAGGAAGAGGATAGTAAGCACATCGTTTTCAAGCATTTCATGGTTCCGATCCGCCCCGACACCGTCGGCACTGTCCGCGTTTGCAAGTATTGCTCCATCGAGTTCAAGGGTGGTGCGTTTCGATGCGCTCAGCATCTCGCGAAATGGAACGGACAGAAAACGCGCGATGTCCGCCTGTGCGCGAAGGCTCCGTCTGACGTGCGAGCGGCGGTGCGTGCGCATTACGAGAAAAAATCATCCGGCCGCGACGAAAAGAGGAGGGCCGAGGAGGCTGCACTCCAAGCTGTCGTGGGAGGTTCTAAGAAAGGCCGCATCACCGACTTCATTGGCGACGAGCAGAAATGCAAGAACGCAGAGGCGAACAACTCCGGCTGCTTGTCCTTCGCCGGCTGCCGCATTCCCGCACACCACGCCGACAACCCATTGTGGCGCAACATGGTGCGGGCCTTTAACAACGCATGCCCCCGTTATGTCGCGCCGCGCCGTAACTACGTGGGAGGGGCTGGCCTCAAGCTTTGCCGCACGGGCATCGAGAGGGGGCTTCAGCCAATCGCCGCGAGCTGGAAGAGGGATGGCGTCACCGTCTCCTCCGACTTGATGACCGATCGGTGCGGGAGGCCGCAGGCGAACGTCATGCTCATCAACGACTCCGGAGCAGTGTTCGTCGAGACTATTGACTGCAACATGGAGTCAAAAACCGGCGGCTACATCGCTTCCATTCTCCGCCCCATCATCGAGAAAGTGGGGCCCGAAAACGTGGTCGCTCTTTGCATGGACGGGGGCTCCAACTACGGGGCCGCCTGCAAGGAGCTTATGGCGGAATGGCCGCACATCGAGTACGTGCCGTGCGCTACGCACGTGCTCGACCTCCTCATGGAGGACGTTGGGAAGATCACGTGGGCGAAGGAGATTGTGGATCGGTGCGGGGACATGGTGAGTTACGTTCGTAACCACCATTTCACCCGCAATTACCTGAGGAGTGGGGCGGTAAAGGGAGGAAAGGGGAAGCAGCTTGTGAAGCCGGCGGGGACCAGGTTCGGCACCAACTTCATCGCCCTCTCAAGGCTGTGCGAGCTGCGGTCTTCGTTGTCGACCATGGTGCTGAGCGAGGAGTACGGCAACTGGGGGAGCGGGGCAAGGAAGCAGACGGCAGATAATTTCCGCAGCCAAGTCATGGACGACGAGTGGTGGAAGAAAGCAACTTACCTCGTGGAGCTCTTGGCGCTTCCGTTCAAGGTGATGCGGGCCACGGATAGCAGCGCTAAGGGCATGATGGGCACCATCTATGACCTCATGCTCCAGCTGACCGAGGACATGAACGCCAAGGTGGATGCGGGGGACAAGATTCTGACGCGGGCGGATGCGGATAAGATAGGAAAGATTGTTAAGAGCCGTTGGGATGAGAGCCTCGCTTGCGCGCTTCACGTCGTTGGCCGGATCCTGAACCCCGCAAATCAGGAAGAGGGTATATTCCGCAACGATGTGGAATGTACCCGCATCTTCAAGGCCTTCATCGCGCGCCACTACGGCGGCAAGACCTTCACCAACAAGGACGGTGAGGAGAGGCGTGCCTCTCTTGTTTTGCAGGAGGGGCTCACGGCCTTCCTCACCCTTGAAGGTTCCTTCGGCCTTCCAGAGGCAATTGCCGACAGAGAGGCCGTGAAGGCAGGCAAGCTGTCGATGGTGGCGTGGTGGGGATGGCACGGGACTGACCACCCCCACCTGGCCAGCCTTGCGTGCCGTGCCCTGACACAGCCGGTGTCGGCGTCGCCGTGTGAGCGCGGGTGGGCATCGTGGGAGTCGGTGCATACTGCCCGCCGCAACAAGCTAGGCTCGGAGAAACTCCGGGACCTAGTTTATGTGGCCCACAACTGGCCGGTGGTCCACAAGTACCACAAGCTGGGTGAGTCACTGGCGGTGCTTCCGGGCAACATCCCTGCTCCCCCTCTGCCGGAGGGATACAAGGAGGAGGAGGAAGGGGAGGAGGAGGAGGAGGAGGAGGAGGATGAGGCCGTGCTGGCCGATGAGTACGTGGAGTAAGAAAGGCAGCAGCAGGGTAAGTGGCTGACGAGGCGACGAGCATGAGGAGTAGAGGTCGAGTATTAGCAGCTGAAGGTTTGGGGAGTACCAGAGCTCATCTCATGCAACAACGATGCGACAGGGGCACTAGTGCAGTGGGATAAAGGGAGATGGGGGAATGGGGGAACTTGGCGACTGATCAATGGAGGAATGGGAGGATGGAGGTACGGGATAGGGGAGTGCGGCAATGGCGCAATGGGGCAAGGGGGCAACAAGGCAGTACCCTCTTGCCAGTACCTCGGTCCAGAGCGGTGCAGAAGGACAGCATGCACGAGTCGTGCATGTAGCGATGCAGCCTCTTAAAGCCCTCCTGCCATCACAGCGTGCGGAAGCACGACACGAGAAGGACGGCATGGGAAGCACAACATGGGAAGCACAGTATACAAATAACAACACAGAAGAAAGGTTTGGTAGAAGAGCATGAACTCAAAGAACAGCATCGGGGCTGCTCATATCACACCATATCCATCGCACAGCATAGCCCCCCGTGACAACGCCAGGTTGAGCCCCCTGTCACCAGCCGTACCCGGTGCTGCTTGGCTCTTCTCCGCCCCCACTGGTTGAACCACCGCCTTCTGAGGCGCCCCATTACCACGCATCACAACTCCTGGCTGGCAGCACCTCCCGTTACTACCTGCAGGCTGCCGCCGTACCTCCGAGGTACTGGCCTAATCGCGAGTCGGGCGGCTTGGTCCTGTCCGCGTTTAGCAGTTGCGCCATCGCCTCTTGAGGCATATGAAAAGCTCCTTCCGCACAACTCTTGAGACGCCCCACTAGCCCCCCCCTACCCGCAGCCGTACCTCGCGCGGCTTGGCCCTGTCCGCGGCCAGCAGCTGACACCATCCATCGCCTCATGAGATGTCCCCAGAACCCAACTTCCCATCACAACACTTTGCACAGCCCCTATCATCACAACCCTCCCAGCACACCCCCTCACTACCCGCCTTACCTCGCGCTGCCTGGCCCTGTCCGCGCCCAGCAGCTGCACCATCGCCTCTTGAGGCATATGAAAAGCCCCTTCCGCTCAACTGTTGACGCCCCACTAGCCCCCACTACCCGTAGCCGTACCTCGCGCTGCGTGGCCCTGTCCGCGGCCAGCAGCTGCACCATCGCCTTGTGAGCATTTTCAAGACACCCCACAATGGTCCCTGTCACACCCCCCCAACTACCCGCCGCACCTCGCGCTGCCTGGCCTTGTCCGCGCCCAGCAGCTGCACCATCGTCTCCACCTCCGACCGCGCCACCGCCTCCGCCATGCCGTGCGCTCCTCACTCCTGCCGCCCCAGAACTAAAAAATTGAATCTAATCAAATCCGATTTCGAGCAGCGCGCAGTAAGCAGTTACATGGCGGTGAGCTGGCAGTAAGATGGCTGTGAGCTGGCAGTAAGATGGCTGTGAGCTGGCAGTAGCTGGCTGGAAGCAGGTCGTAGCAGCGGGGCGACGGCGGGCACTGCGATTGGAACGGCGTGATTGCAAGGGAAGCAGCGCGCGCGGTGAAAGGACCAGAAGGCAGCCTGCGTTGTTTGCGTCCTGCGTCTGCTATGCTGAACTGCGATCCCAAAAGGCATGCAATCCTTCATGCAAAGCTAAACTGAGGACGCGATATAGTTCGCATGCGATTGTGCAGGATTGCCTCGGCCTATGGTTATCAACGATTTCTTGGAAGCTAAGGATAGTTTTTGGGATGATCAGGAGCGAACACTTGATTAAGATCAGGGCCACCATCAGTCCCGATTGATCGCCTTGATCAGGCGCATCGCGTTTAGATTGGGAAATGTTGATTTGGTAGGTTCGAAAGCCCTAGCGAACGAACGACTCGCTTAGCTAAATCTATTTTGACACTCGAGTTCGATCCTGTAATGCTGTTACGGGTGCAATGGAACGAGATAGCGAGGATTGCACTAGGTGTCAAACGAGTACAAATATGAGGGCGTATCCCTGGCTGGTGGCAGGGCCACTAGCAGGGTTGGTGGCAACTTTCCCAAAAACACAAAGGGGCGGAAAATGCGCATGCCACCAACAGTGCCAGCTACAGTGGCCCTGCCACCACCCAGGGATACGCCCTGAGGGCGTATTCCTAGCTTCGTGTCAAGTTCGGTTGGTGTCAACCTAGAACCTTGGAACTCACGCAATTGGTTCAAAAATCACAACGGACCAATCACGTGCATTCCAAAGTTCTAGGTTGACACAAATTCATTCTTGACACGAAGCCAAGAATACGCCCTGATCGAAAGCATGAGCGAATACTTATGTGCGAAACATGCAACGGTTACGCGGTGCGTGCGAGCTAGCTAGTGCTAGGCTGGCATCGAGGTTCGGGCTAGTCCCAAAGCGTAGGCCGACTCGGCCGGGCCAGCGGTGCATGGTTTGGTGAAACAGTGCGCGCGAAGTTGGCGAAGCCCCGTTAGCAGTAACGGGCGAACAACGGCTGCTGTTGTACGTGATGTTGACGGACGCAGTAAGGAATGTCGAGAGAAATCCTTACACTACCCCCCCCCCCCCCCCCTCAAGAAGCCCCCTCCGCTACGCGAGTGCGTGTATATCGCGGAAACCCCGGCTCCTCAGGTACACTTGTAGGGCAGGGTGATTTTTTATGTTGGCCAGGGGCACCCAGCTATCCTCAGTTGGCGTGCGGTCCTTCCAATGAATGAGGAACTTGATCCTTTTGATGCATGTGGGGTGTCGAATCCGATCGCTCAAAATCTTCTCGGGCTCAATGATCGGCTCCGATGCAGGGCGAGTCATGGATGGCGGGCGGTGACGAGGCAGTTGGCTTGTGGTCGGGATGTAAGGGCGAAGCAGGCTGACGTGGAATGACGGGCTGATGTACTAGTCTGTTGGCAACAGTAAATGGGCGGTAACTGGGGTGGTCATCTGGCTGATTTGGAATGGGCCACAGTAGCGCGGTCGAAGTTTCGGTACGACGGACAGTCTTAAGTTCTGTGTGTCGAGCAGTACGTAGTCCCCTGACTGGTATGTGACTGGGCGACGGTAGCGGTCAGCATTTCTCTTTCCGATGACGCTGGCTATTTTTATTGCTTCTGCGCCTCTGGTTCGAGCAGCTTGCAGAATCTCGGCAAATTGCTGCGCAAGCGGCGTTGGGTTGTCCGGACTCGGCGTCATGGCCACGGTTGGGTGCTGCCCGTAGTTCAGGTAGAAAGAGGACTGCTGCGTCGTCGCTGACGTGGCGTTGTTGTACGCGAACTCGATCAGCGGCAGCTGCTGCTCCCATGTTGTCGGGTCGTCGCACGTGGCACGAATCAACTGCTCCATCGTCTGGTTTGTATGCTCCGTTTGACCGTCGGTCTTGGGGTGGTACGACGAGCTGAACTGTAGCCTGGTCCCGAACTGCTCCCAAAGGTTCTTCCAGAGGTTCCTGGTAAACTTCGTATCACGGTCGCTAATTATCGCGGCTGGTATCCCGTGCAGTCGAACGACGGTTGCAATGAATTGGCGAGCGGTTTCTTCGGCTGCGATCGATTTTCTGCATGCAACGAAGTGAGCCATTTTTGTCAGTCTGTCAACGACGACCATAACCGCATCGTTACCCCCAGGGCTCGAAGGTAACCCCGTGACGAAATCCATGGTAACCTGCTGCCAGGCGCGCTCGGGCGGTGGTATCGGCTGCAACTGACCCGCCTTTCGTTTTCGCGAGCTCTTCATCACCTGACACGTAGGACACGACCCCACGTGGTGCTATACGTCAGTCAACAGCTTCGGCCAGTAATAGTACCGCTGTAGTTGCTGTCGCAAATTTTCTACCCCGAAATGACCCGAGGTAACCCCGTCGTGTGCCTCCTGCAGTAGCAGTTCCCTCAGTAGTGAGTACGCGGGTACCCAAATGCGGTTGGTGCCTGTCAGTTGCTGTGAATTTCCGGTCGTGAAAAACGGGTCAGTGCTGTATCCGTGGGTAAATAGGCCTGTAAACAGTGGGTTGGTTTGGGCGAGTAGGATGGCGTGAAGTTGGGCAGTGGAGTGGGTGAGTGCGTCGGCGATATTCAATGCTCCCTTTTTGTATGTGACGACGTAGTGGAAGTTGGACTCCAGATAGTCCAACCAGCGAATCTGTCGCAGATTGAGGTTCGGTTGGGTGCGGAAGTACTGTAGTTATTTGTAGTCTGTCCGTACTATCACGTCGGCTCCTGTCAGGTAGCATCGCCACACTTTGAACACGTGCATGATCGCCAGCATCTCGCGGTCGTGTATCGGGTAGTTGCGTTCGGGCGGGTGGAGCTTGTGAGACTCATACGCGATTGGCTGAAGGTCGTTCGCAAAGTCCTGCAACAGTACTGCTCCGACGGCGATGTCGCTTCTGTCAGTGACCAGTTCGAACGGGTGGTGTGGGTCAGTGATGTGCATTAAAAGGCAGCTTGCTCTTTCTCCCCCCACGTGTACTCAACCCCCTTCCTCAGCAGATTAGTCAGCGGGGCGATCAGCTTCGCCATGTCGGGGACGAACCGGCGCACGTAGTTGACGAACCCCAAAAAACTCTAGAGCTCATTCAGGTTGGTCGGCGCGTGCCATGCTTGAATTGTCGCGATCTTTTTCGGGTCTATTTCCACTCCATCGGTTGAAATCATGTGCCCTAAAAACTCCTGTTTGTCCTGTAGAAACTCACACTTAGAGGCTTTGGTCAGTAGGCGGTTCTCACTCAGTATTTTAAAAACTGCTTCGATGTCCTGTAGGTATTGTGGTCTGTCTGGGCTGTAAATCAGTATGCCGTCGAGGTAAACGATGACGCACTTATCTAAAAGCGGGCGGAAGGCTTCGTTCATGGTCATTTAGAAGGTTGCGGGGGCGTCGGTCAGTCCGAAGGGCATTACCATGTATTTGAATGATCCGTAGTGTGTTGGGAAAGTTGTTTTCGGGCAGTCAGGTGGATTGACGCGGATCTGGTGGTAGCCTCCTTGAAGGTCTATTTTCGAGAATACCCGAGCTGTGCACAGTTGATCGATTGTCAG